GGGCACGTCTAAAGCTTCAGAAAGCAGCTCCCTGGGCAGCAGGGGCAGGGCTCTGCCTAAATTGGATCCCGTTATTTGTGGACGGCTAACTGGATTCTCCGAAGGAAAAGGTTACCCAAGCAGGGGTTCTTGATTTGGTCTCTCAATTCCCAAAGGATGCAGCCAGGCACTGGAATCTGGGGACCCTTGTAACAGTTTAAGGAACATTTTGTGTGCATGTGCTGCTGTTTCTTTGATGACAGTAGTGGGAGGCAGGAAATGGACTTTCAGCTCCAGGGGTCTGAGGAGGCTAAAATTACAGTAGTTATTTGTGCCTAGAGAAAAAAGGAGAATGGGATTGATAATTGACACTAAATTATTCATTGATCTATTTTTTAAAAAATAAGGATCTGAACCAAATAGGCCAAAACATTAACAAAGTTAATTAACTACAGATGGTGGGCATGTGGATGCTGATAGAGTTTTTCGTATTTTTAAGCCTTTTCTAAAGTAAAACTGAAATATACAAATTAGCCAAAAAAGAACCTTTGGCCCAAGATATTTAAACTGAACAAAGCAAAAGTATCATAATTTCCCTCACATTTTTATGTGCCTAAATTTAATAAAAGCAGCTCACTAAAGAAGCTCCCTGAACCTTCTTGTACCCCCTAAAAATGATCTCAATTTATTTCTGTAAAATTGCTAGACACTGTCACCAAGCCTTAGTTTCTACCTTTTCTCTTGCTCTGTTTCTTTCTTTCTTTTTTTTTTTTTCTAAGATTTTATTTATTTATTTGACAGACAGAGATCACAAGTAGGCAGAGAGGCAGGCAGAAAGAGAGAGGGGGAAGCAGGCTCCCCGCTGAGCAGAGAGCCCGATGTGGGGCTTGACCCCAGGACACTGAGACCATGACCTGAGCTAATAGCAGAGGCTTAACCCACTGAGCCACCCAGGCGCCCCTCTCTCTTTCCCCTTTTCTAAGAACTGGACATCAATCTAGTCTTTCTTCAGCTTCCAGGAATCTTACTAGCTCTCTTTGATTAATTCAAACAAGAGGTCACCTTTACAAGACATCCAAGGGGACTATCCTAAGATATCCCATTACAGTTTCGATTTAGTTGACTTTCTTTGCAGGATGGAGATGCTGTATCATCCTATTACTCATGGTCCTCCCATGAAGATGAGAGAATGAAGAGGCGAATAGGATGGGGCGTGTGTGTGTGTGTGTCTGTGAAAAGTCACTAGTTTTTTTTTTTAAACTGCTTCTTTATTCATCCCCCTCAAACAGCTCATCTTAGTGTCTAAAATGAACACGAATTTCCATTTATGCGTCTCCGTTTTCCCTATTTCCCTATTTCTTGCTGGGTTCTCCACCAGTGCTCCTGGGCATAAATCGTTCTTACTCTTGGCCTCATGTTAGCCCAGATTTCTTCCCAGTCTGCCTGGGAGAAAGAATTAGGGCTACAATGTGAGACATGAACTTATTCTCAGCTACAGGTCCAAGAAAACCACAAATGTCCACAGTGTGGGTGAAAAGAATGCCATCCCAGCGCTCCTGCAATTTTCAGTTATGAACTTGTATTTTTCCTATGGTTATGAAAGTCCTCTGGAAAGGCTTGCTTTCTTGCTGTATTTTTCTTAGAGAATAACCTTCAAAGAGGACGATTAGCTTTTCAAAGAGACAAAAATAAGTATACAAACACATAAATGTATGATGCTAATTCATTCCTATTTCCCTGGAAGTCAGAACCATCAGCACATGTCATCAAGGGGCAAAAACATCCTTGCAAAAGATGAGACAAATCCTGCATATTTTATGAAAATTTCAAATGTCATCCACCTTTTCTTTCTATTACTGATTTTGTTTTAGCACTGGCTACCTTCACACCATGTACAGCTATGGAGAAACGGGACAGGTTTCTCTTTCTACCAGGATTATGGGTCACAATGATGATGATTGTGTAGAAAGATGAAAAGGAACTCAGATGGCAAGCTTTTAACGGACACGTCCACTGTCCAAGTTTGTAACACAGGAGGTTTAAGAGTCCTGTTTCTCTTATAAATATAAGGAAGAATTCCCAACAGAAAACCAATCAGCTCATTGGAGCAGCCACCAGGAAAGGTCATCTGCTCTAAAGTGTAACTGCTCTTGCCAGGCCCAGAAAAAGAAGGGAGTGGCTGCTCCCTGTCTTGTCAGCCTCTGGCCCCTGCAGTTAAACCTCCCCAATTACACGTGATGGGGAGCTTCCATGCAGTGAGTTTCCTTCTTTCTGTTCGAGAAAAACCTGATGATGATCCTTAGGGCTGATGGCCGACAGAGTCATTCAGTGGCCATAAAGCTGGGGTCTCTGCACGTGTGCACTGGGAATGGCTCCTACGTCTTCCCTAATGTTCATGGACATACTGGATCCCTTGGCCTCTCCTTGGGCAAAGAGGCCAACCACTCAACCACCTCTCCTGGGTGCCTGTCTCCTTTTGCTCACCCAAACAAGGTGGGCATGGAGAGGAGAGGTGGGAGAAGTACTTTGGTGAATGTGGCCCCTGGTTCCCAGGCAGTGGCAAAGGGTCTTAGATTGACCTGAGGTTGGGGAAACTTTCTGAGCACTGGCCCCTGGCCCTCCTCATGAAGGCGGAATGCCTCTCCCAGATAGACGTCATCTTGTTGCTGGAGAGCGAAATGGGAGCCTTTGACTCCATCGAACAACCTGAAGGCTGTTGCCTTCTTTTTATCCAGGCTTGTGGATCTGCCAGATATGCAGCTGCAGGGGGACCCCTCTGCAGGGACTGTCCTCTTAAATGGCCCATCAAGGGCCAAGGTGGAGAGCGCCAACCTGAGGGCTGCACGGGCAGTGTCTGGACCCATAGGCACCAGGTAAGTTAGCTGCTCTGCACGGGTCCTGGCGTGGGGCCGGAAGAAACATGGTTCACCCGAGGAACGGAGCTAGGGAATGGGGCAAAATGAGGACCCCTTCTCCGAATGAAGAAGAAAATCCCAGTATCCCTTCCCTTCCAACAAATGAGTAAGAAAAAAGTGTGCGAGACAGAAAGCAGGACGGGAAGTGGGCAGCGTGTGGGCAGAATAAAAAGAAGTGTGTGCAGCAAACATGAGTGCGGCCACAGAGCCCAGGGCTCCTTGACTGTTTAACACCTCAAAACTCAAGTCAAGGATCAGACAGTGGTCACATGACTCTTCACGTGACAGAGCTGGGATCTGGAAGCAAAGCTTTGAGACCTAAGCCTACCACTGTTTCTGCTGTAACTTCTCATTTTCAGACAGAACAAGGTTCTATGTGACTAAGACTACTGTCCCATCAAGAAAGAACCCCCCTGCCCAAAAAAAAGAAAGAAAAAAACCCTTTTGGAGGCCTTGCTGGCTTCATTTTCCTGCTAAGCATGCTCACAGACTGAATGCTTTAACTATGTTCCAACACAGAAAGTGGGTTTGGCTGGAGAGGCTCGGGCATGTGAACACTGACCAGCCAAGATGTTCTCTTCCTGGCCCTCATGCTCTCTGTTCACAAGAGTTCAGGCTCGGACACTCAATGTTAGTAACCCCAGACTGCCTCCTCACACAGAGGATATGCCTGCACATGGACCACGCTTAACCTGGGTGAAGAATTAAAGTCCTGATCCCTTAACTGATCTAAAATGCTTAATATCAGAAGGTAATTAAAATTTTTTTAATTTAAATTCAATTTAATTAACATAGAGTGTATTATTAGTTTCAGGAATTTAGAATTTAGTGATTCATCAGTTGCATAGAACACCCAGTGCTCATTCCATCAAAGTGCCCTCCTTAATGCCCATCACCCAGTCACAGCACTCCCCACCCACCTCCTCTCCAGCAACCCTCAGACTGTTCCCTATAGTTAAGAGTCTTACATGGTTTGCCTCCCTCTCGGTCTTATTTTATTTTTCCTTCCCTTCAAAGGTAATTTAATTTTAAGGTTGGCAGCAAAATGCTAGAATGAACACGGGACTGGAGACAGTAAGAACTGGGATTCGGTCCCAGGTCTGTCCTAGTAGCTAGGTGACCTCAACCAAGGGGCCAAACTTCTCCAGATCTTTCCTTTGCCCTGCTAGCCTCATGTCCTAGTGCAAGGACAAAATGAAAAATTTCAGTGCCCCGCAAATGAAAGGCTTACAGTTCTCTGTGGCCTGTTGACTTTTTTTTTTTTTTTTTTTAATCGGTTTGGGAAGGAGCAAACAGTGATGGAATGTGGGACATCATCAAGTCTCTTCAGGAGTTGTCCCTGACTCCTGGACAAACTCTCTTGGGGCTTTCCCCAGACCTCCCATGGATCTAAATGTAGTTCCCGGGACTCAACAGAGAGAGACATACAGCAACATGGGTGAGCATGGTTGGGCCCTTAGGACTGCTGGGAGCCAAGACACCCTTAGAACTGGGATTGTCAGTGCAAGCCCAAGGCTGCCCTGGGGACAGTCCCCTAGCCATGACCACTGAACCCCCACAACACATACTGGAATCCTCCCTTTTAGCCTTCTTTCCCAGCTCCATGTGGTTATTTCCAGGTATCAGAGGGAGGGAAGCATTCTCAGTGTGGTCTAAGGTATTCATTTGAGGATTGGAGGAAGTCACAAGAGGGTGGTAGGTCACCTGCAGCACTGGTGATGCTTTTCCTTAACTTGTTGTGGAGCCTGGAGTGGCTCCTTCTGGAGCCTTCCCTGTCCTCGAAGGATGGGCTGGGCTCTTCCTAAGAGGCCCTCCCAACATTGTTTCAGTAGTGGCTTTGCCTGTCCCATCCTCTTGCATGCTATTCTTGCCTCTTTGGTGCAAAGAAAGGGCTTGGCTCTCCTGGATGCTAACTACAACTTCTTCTAGACTTTTATCTCAGGGTGCTGGAGCAGTGTGATGCTGGACACTTTCCAGCTCAGTCCAGCCCCAGACTCACAAGCAGAGCCTGCACAGTTCTCTATGAGATATTTTTCCTGAGGAAAGGATGGTCTGCAACTGACTTAGCTCTTTCCCAGCCCTGACCCACCCGACGCCCCTCCTCACCACCAAGACGTGCTCGAGAAGGTCCAGGTAGCCGAGGGTGCACTCTGTCCCGTACCGCAAGGCTCTGGTGCGCACCTCCTCGCTGACATCAGGGTGGAAGGATGCTTGCTGGAGAGAGAAAGGAATGTTGATACCTTAAGATGGGAAGAGCCAGCTGGTGAACAGGCCAAGGGGTGAGGGGCCCAGTAGCACAGAGCAGCCTGTATCCACAGGTAGGAGACCTGGATTCTGGAATTCCCTCTCCCTCACCCTCAGTGACCTCCCTGAGAAACCTCCCCTGACTCCCTGGACAGAGAGCTCAGAGGTGGAGCTCCTCCATGCTCTCCTCCACGGTAAGTTCTCAGACAACATTTTGTGTCTTGCCTTTCTCAGTGCCCTCGAGCTGGATAAAAGCACAGGAATCAGGTCCCTCCTTCCGTCCTTTCTCCCCGCCCCCTTTTACTGAAATGTAAGGAATTCCGTGTGCACTATGAAGTCCAGGAAAGATTCATGATTAAGGCTCCCAGCAGGAGATCTGCTGTGCTGGGGTCCGCCTGCCCTTCTCCAGCAGCAGGAGGGGGCCTGAAGCCCCTCTCTGTTCACAGGCTGACAGTACTCAGGTCCTTGCTCTATGGCCTCACCATGCTGCACTCACAGTGTCTCCCACCCAGGGCTCTCTGGCTCCTGGGAAACTTCAGACGGTAAGCTCCCACTGCCCTCAGAGGGGCCATAACAAACTCATCTCACATTATACATGGTGAGATAAGCAGACAAGGACGAATGGCTAATACAGGATCCTGTGCTTTTTTTTTTTTTTTTTTTTTTTTTTTTGGCGCTTATGACCTGTCGGTTTCATTCATTCCTGATATACCGGATGGCACACCCACTCACAAGGTTACCAGATTCATTACAGTCAACCCGGTTACATCTGAATTTTGAATAAATAATACAAAATTTTCAATGTAAGTTTGAGAAACCCTATTTTTTATTTGCTAAATCGGGCAACCCTACCCAGCCTTTCTTCAGAAAGAACTTGGGACTGACAAGAACAGCTAAAAGAGAAAACTGCAAATAAATCACAAATCAGGACACATATGAATCACACATTAGGGTAAGAAGTCAAAGGGGAGGGGAATAGTGACTAGTCCTCCTGTTTGTTCCACTCAGGAGGGCTGGGGAGTGTTGGTGGGACCACCTGTGGGCTTTCCCCTCACCTGCTCCCCCAACGCACACCAGAAGGGGTGGGGATAATCTGAGTGGCCAGCGTCTATCCTTTCTGAGCTCACTGTTGCCCATCTGAGGACTGATGGGCCAGAACCACAACCAAGTTTTAATTGTCCTTGCTCCATTGGGTCTACATGTGTGAGGACGGAGCCCATGTGTGGGGGAAGACACAGGCTGTGATGCTACCAAATGTCACCTCTAGTGGGCAGTGTGGAAGACCCCCATTTAGACTTCCCGGGGGACCGAGCGTGGGCGCTCTTGTCCACTGCTGGTGGCTTTAACTTCGAAGAACTCTCTGGGAGAGCCATGTGGCAAGAATCAAAATGTCATACCACCTGACTAATTCTGCTCCTGGGAGTCCTGCCCAAGGAGATTACCTGAAGCCTAGAAAAAACAGGTATGCCCAAAGATATTCATGGCAGTAGAGTTTAAAGTACAGATAAAAAATGCAGATAACCTAAATATCTGATGATAGGGTAAGATTACATTCACTCACAGAGTACTTGTGGCCATTAAGGGCTCCATTATTATAACGGGGATGCAACACAGAAACAGCCATCAGACATTAGCTGTGACAGTTGACTGGATTAGATCTGATGCAGACGTACATAATCATACGAAAGTAAAGCAAGAAATAGACAGGAGAATTAACTTAGGGTATAGGGAAGCCCTTGTCTCCACCTGAGGAATTAGCGTAATCCTCTCTTTTGGACAAAATGAGCCTGTAGGTAACTTACTGTACTTCCATTTTCGGCCGAGCCACCCTACTCAGTCAGCCCCAAAGACAGCGCTCCAACATGGCAACTTGGCCCTCTGCCTGGATAGAAGGGTTTCTTTTCGATCCACCATTTGGTATTCCTGGTTTTCTATATGCTCCTTATTGTACACCCTTTCTAGCAAGCTGCCTCCTTTCCTTTCTGCAAAAGGAAGGGGACCAAGGGAAATGCAAAGGTCGGTATGTCTGCTGCATAAGTCCTATCCTAACAGGAGTCTCAGGGCTCAGAACTGACTCTTGTCATCCAAGTCTGGCTTTGAGGAATGAAGCTCTGGCTGTTATTTTGTCCTGTGAAGATCCGGGGGCAGGACAAGAGAGAGGAGCAGAGGCCAGGCAAATGGCACCTGTGCTGGGATCCTTGCCCCCCTCCCCTGAGAACAGGGGTACGTGTATTATAAACATACTTGAAAATCTGAGCTGCCTTCCACTCCCACCTTAATCCATTTAACTTCTCCTTTTCATTTCACATCTATAACATGGGGACAAAGCACCAGTCACTCGTCAACGTCAGTGTCCTTAAGCATTTATGGCTGGGAGGCCACGGGCAGCAGAAAGATACAGGCCATGGAATCAGAGGACCCAGTTTCAGTTCTAGTTCTGAGAGTGAAGGGCTGTGTGACCACGGTCATGCCACTTAATCTTGCCAAGCCTGTTTCACCATCCATCAAATTGGGATCCCTCCCCTTGCTCTTCCCATCCGGGATCAAAAGAACCTGCAGGAGAGCCTTCCACAATCATGAGGCACCCTGCATGCACACTGTGGTGGCATTCAGGCCTAGCCTGCTAGGGAAGGATTATTCTCTGCCGGAGGCTGTAACCCTTCTAGGAGTTGTCAGTTCTGACAGGGCAGATTCCATGAGGGACAACCTAACTGCAAACACCTCTGGCCTCAGGAGGGTCTCAACACATGGCTCCCCCGTGAAAGTGTCCGTCCCACCTTGCCCCCTCTTCCCTTCCCCTGACCCCCCCATGCTCTGCCCTCACACACCCGTCCCTTCAGGCTGGCTGCCTCACCCTCCCACTGTCCAGTTACCTCTCCTTGCCCAGAGGAGCCCCCGAGAGGCCATCAGTAGGACCTGGCACCAGCTCTCCCACACTGACTTCACCACAAAGAACAGCCCTGTCTCCTCAGTCCCCAAGCTGCCGCAGCTGCTTTTGTAACTTCTGTGACGTGTCTCCACCTGCTCACCATGGTTGGGGGTTATCAATCAATCACTGAGTCCCTGGGACACCGCTGTCCCTAAAAGGGTGAAGGTCTGGAGTAGGGTGCTCAACGAGGGGTGGGGGGCCCTTATGGCTCACCTTCTTTAGACATAAAGAAAGAAAGCTTGTTAAAACTCAGGTCCCACCAGCTCCCTCACCAAGGATGGGCTCAGGGCAGCCACCCCGCTTGCTTAGCCAAGGATCAGAGGAGTTTCTGCAAAACGTCTGGCACAGGTAGGAAAAAGGCAGTTTCCCAACATTCTGTTCTGTTCTTCCGACTCACTTCCTCACCCAGTTAGGGCAGCACCCCTCCTAGCACAGAATGCTGACCGACGGAGTCAGGAAAGGGGGCGGGCAGAAGCAGGATGCAATTTTCGTTCAGAGGGCCAGGAACAAAATGTCACAGGCCTTCTTCGCCTCTGCCAGAGTGGCCACCCCTACACCCTCCCTAAGAAAGCGTCCTTCCTACTCAGGAAGAGGAAATGTGGGAGGTTAGTCCGCAGATCAGCACCAACCCCTCTCAAACATAAACCTAGCCTCACGGGGCACGTTCCCCAGGCTGATGGGTGCACACCTCCAGCACGCGTTTCCTTACGGCGCCTAAGGTATCGAGCTGCTCCCTTCTGCAGGTGACCGGCCCCTCCCTTTCTCCAGACTGCACCAAAAATTCAGTCATGACAGAGCATCATCAAGCCGTCCAAAACAACGCCAAGGTCTTTACCTTGCAAGCCGTCAGCATGTCAGACACAGCCTTCCGGCTCAGGTTGGCGGTGGCGATCACATCCTCCTGTCTGCACGAGTTTCCCGCAGCCACAGCTTTGGCGGTTGCCATGGTGATACCTTTCGTCATCCTTATCGATTCTTCAGGTGATGAGGTCTTTTCAGGTATCTCTTTGGACTGGAACACCTGGAAGTTAGAAATACAACAGGTGAAGAAAAAAAAATACCCAAAAAAGAGAAGGACCAAAAATAATTTATTCTTCTCCGACTGGGCTGCCGCTCACTGTCTGAGAACAGAGCCAGCCACAGGAAGAAACTGTCAAATGGCAGGAAATTAGAAATTTCATTTGAGTAATATTATTCTCACTTTCAAGATTCTAGCACGGATAAGCCGTGCACACCTGTACTCAAGCACTCACAGTCACGAGACCCTGGGGGTGAAGGGGACAGGTCTACAGCACCAACGGAGAGCCTCTGGGTATCTGCAAACTCTCCTGGGCCAGGTGGTCACAGGGCTTCCCCGTTCTCGCCCCCTCCCCACCGCGCCTCCAGCAGCTCCCAGAAACTCCGCAGTTCTGATGCCGGCTCCTGCATAGGACGGACTGTGGATCCCTCCCTGTGGACTCACCTCTCTCTCTCTGAGAGGGTGTGGGGCTGGGGGAAATGGAGCGTTCACTTTCTTCTTCTATTCTTAGCCTGTCTTACAAATATAACTGCATAATTGTGCGGAGGCGTTCGTGTCGAGTGAGCCACAGTGACACTGTGAATTATTTAAAACCACACGCACGTGCGCGCGCGCACACACACACACACACACACACACCCCTTTAGAGAAGCTGAAATAAATTAACCATGGTAAGTGAATATCCCACTTTCAAATTCCACCTGTCAGTCAAGGCAGCCATCTCTGCCTCGAGCCCATCTGTCCTGTCTCTCTCACATGAGTGACTAGTGCCAGGGCTGCATTTTCAATGTGTAGCTGTCCCCGGCCAGGAGGACTACTGCACCAGTTGGGGCTGCTCTGTCTCCAGCCCCAGACAACCACCTTCCAGTCAGGCAGTTATTCCTGGGACAAAAGGGAGAACCCAGCCAGCAGTCCTGCCATGGGTTAGGCAGCCTCAAACGTCACCATCCCCCCTAGAAATGGGCAGCTCCAATGAAGCTGAACTCTAACATGGCATGGAGGCCACACGTGTGGAGCCCTTCAGACTAACGTGGCCCACAGGGCACATGCTCATTTGGAAACTTCCTATGTCCACAGAAACCCACAACTCGTGCCGGCCCACACTGGTACGCGGACATAGATCATGCGTAACTTGCCAGGAGAGCTCCGAATTTCCCATCTCCTCCACTGCCCCCATGAGCCCCACCCATACCTCCCAGAATGTGGGGCCAGACTTCTGATAGGAAACATCTAGCCGATGTAGGCAGGTAAGCTTCAGGTAGCAAGCAGAGTTTGAGGACACCATTAACAATTTTTAGTTTCTTCTTTGTGTGAGAACCAAGTGTAACACCGACCAAGATTGACTTCACCAAAAACAGGACAAGAGAACCTAAGCCTCCACCAGCAAACCCCAACAGAACTGCTGGTTTCTACTGCTGATCCACAGGGCCTTTTAGCCTTCCTAGGCGACCGTCTACACATGCAGAAAAAACCGGCAGCAAAGGCAGGACTCCCCCTCCCTGCCCCAAGAGAGAAACTGAATCTGATCAGACCTCCTGGGAGAAAGAAATCTCTGAAACCACTCATTTTCAGCATATTTCTATTTCCAGGGATTAGGATGAGTCAATTCATAACCATCACGGGATCAAAAAAACAGGAGCAGTGTCCAGATTGCAGGAACACCGGGACGCCCTCACTCAAGGCAAGAAAGAATGCATGGTCATTGTCCCTGGGACCACACAGATTGCCAACAGAAGGGCGCTGAATTTTAAAGGGAAGTGTCTCAGGTAAAGGCATCCAGGTTTCTCTACTGGGGACGCTCAAACCCCAGAACCTGTACGTGTGCAGCAGCGTGAGCTGTTGCTGACAAGAGTGGGAATGAGGAGGGCCTGTGTGTGGCTCTGTGTTGTACACACCCCGTTTAAGCTCAAGGTGAGAGCAGACAGCCATCCTGAGTTTTCCCTTGGCCAGGAATCTTTTGTAAGGCTTTTGTTTCATGCTCCGATTTTAATGGAATTAAACCTGAATAGTCCTATGTGATACATTTTAATTAATTTCTTTTTTTTTAATTTTTTTAAAAGATTTTATTTATTTATTTGACAGACAGAGATCACAAATAGGCAGAGAAGCAGGCAGAGAGAGAGGAGGAAGCAGGCTCCCTGCGGAGCAGAGAGCCCGATGCGGGGCTCGATCCCAGGACCCTGAGATCATGACCTGAGCTGAAGGCAGAGGCTTTAACTCACTGAGCCACCCAGGTGCCCCATTTTGATTAATTTCTTAATTACAAATCGACTGTAGCCAAACTCTGATGTGGTCAGCTACGCACGGGGCCTCAAGGATGCAAAGCTAGCAGCAAGTAGGTGAGTGGACCTCCTAGCTCAGGCACTCCATGCGAAACCTCTTTCTGTTATAGATCTCAGAGAGGTCTGTTTTGGGGTCTGCTCTAGCACAGGGGTGCCCGAGGGAGGTGATGGCTGGCTCCTTACCGTGAGCTCCTGTTTCATGTACTCGATGGTGGCCTCAAGCGCCCGTGTGCCCCGGGTGGCCTCGTCCTCCACCGCCTTGACAGTCTTGAGGAGGGAGGTGACATTGGTCACCATCACCTGTATAGGAAGGAGAGGCCGAGAGAAAATGAGGAGCACACTGAGGTCCATGCCCCAGTCCTTTTTGTTCCGGATCTGATGCCATGAGCAAAACCACTGCGAAGCGAGGAAGCAGCTCGGAGGCCTACGCTCCCATTATTCTTGCTTCTCTCGCTATGTACTCCCCCTCCACGCCTGCCCCAGACTTGGGGCCCCACTCTACCTTGGCAGCCCCCTTGAGCTGGTACATGGAGGGGTCATCAGCAGGCTTGCTGGCAGCTCCCTTAGTGGCACCGATCAGATCTGAAAGGGCCTTGGCCACATCTTTGATGGCATTGATTAAGACCACCTGAAAGAAAGCAGAGAGCCCGGGTGAGTGGCCCCAGCAGTCACCTGCTGGTCTCACCAAGAGCACACAGCCCGAGGGTGAGGTAGGGGAATTTGGGGAGCTGGGCTCCGTCTCAGCAGCTCTCCAGCCTGCAGCTTGGCAGAACCTCCAGAAGCCAGCCCTGGAGTCTCCCCAGTGGAGATTGAGGCTGAGCCAGAACACAGACCCCATGGACACTCAGGGGTATGTTCCAGTGCCTCCTGGCTGGCAGCTCTGATGACAAGTCACCTAGGAAAGGAGGCAGGCAGCAAAGCAGTCACCTGGGAGCCCGCACCATTCCCAGGCGCCCTGAGCTGGCAACCAAAACCACGGAGGACCAAATGCTAGCCTTGCAGCCTGGCCTGCAAGGTCTCCACGGGCTTCTCCAGCTCCCGTTCATAGGATTCTGTGACCTACTTAACATGCGATAGGCAGATGAGTCTGTCTTTCTTCCCCAAGGCAAATCCCACTCATGCCTACTTCAGGGCCTCTGCTCTTGCTCCTCTCGCTCTGCCTGGAAGCCAGCTTTTCCCATCAGTCGGGGCTCAGCTCGGCCATCAAGCCATCAGAGACCTTTCCTGACCACCCCCAACCTGAAACTCCATCAGTGTGCCCTGTTTCCTTTACAGCACTTATCGGTATGTCTTCTTCCCCGAAATGGAGGTAAACTGTGGGAGAGCCAGCCTGGGCTTCTGTCTGTTCTGTTTTGCATTCAGAACAGGGTCTGGCACATCACAGGTGCACAGGAAATATTCATGGAATGACTGGCTGGACAGGTGCACGCCCTAATGACACTGGAAAGAATATGGTACCTACACTCCGGTCACTGAGCAGAGACCACAAGCCAACCTCATAGCGTGCTAGACCCGGGGTCTGAAGCCCCGGCTATACTCCAGAATGACATGACATGACCTGCTTTACATTTAAGTCGCCTTTTGTCACAGCAACAATTTCCCTTTGCTGGGGGCAGTGTTCCAGGTGCTGAGCCACGCACATCACCCATGACCTTGCTTTGTCCTTGCCACAGCCTTTCCAAGCGGGGACTGAGATGCTCCTGTCCACACTCCCAGGGCCTGCGATTCACACTCTAGTCAGTGTGATCCCAAGGGTCATGGTCCTAACGTTCACACTCGCTTACGCTCTAGGGCTCCGGCTCCTCACATGCCAACAGCATCAGGAGCACCAGTCCTATCTCACCGCACAGCTGCGAGGGCGACCACATAACGTAGCTGAAAACACATCACAAACTCTCATGTCCCCAACAGCTGAGAGCATGGTGACACTGTGCCTCTGCCCCTCACACCGTCTCCTGCTCGATCCTGCGCCTTCTCACCCCAGGGCTCACGGAACCTCTGGCAACCTCTGGAACCACAGGGCTGGTCAGGGCGTGGTGGGTCTCTTGAGGAAGGGCTGACAGGTAAGAACCTCACACTGCCTGATTCCCACCATCACAGCAGTGGGTAGAGAGCACGGGACAGCAAGCAAAGGTTGCCACCAACACCCAGAGCACACGGTCTCATCCCCGGTCACTAGGAACTGACTGCAGAGTAGGCACATTTTGGTGAGGGGATATTTTCCACTAGAGGCCTCATTAGAAGTTGGGGTCCAAGAAAAGTTTAGGGGTGCCTGCGTGGCTTAGTGGGTTAAGCCTCTGCCTTCAGCTCAGGTCATGATCCCAGGGTCCTGGGATTGAGCCCTGCATCGGGCTCTCTGCTCAGCCAGGAGCCTGCTACCCCCTCTCTCTCTGCCTGCCTCTCTGCCTACTTGTGAGCTCTAATCTGTCAAATAAATAAATAAAATCTTTGAAAAAAAAAAAAAAAAAGAAGAAGTCAGGGCTCTAGGACCTCTAGGCCATTTGGGTGTCGAGACTCTAAACAATTTGATACACGTCTCCATGCTCCAAGATTTAAGGTCTCCCCGGCTTGTTCACTTCTCCTCAAATGGGGCCAGGCTCAGAGAGTGTGGATTCCAGCCCCACTGGGCGTTTTGAAGTGCTGCCTTCCTCTGTGGGGTAAGAACACTATCACAGGCAAGGATTTGCGTGAATGCTTCGAATTCCAGAGGGCAGCCAATCCCAGCTGGGATGTTATCAAAGAGAAACCTGGCAGGAGGAGTAAAAAGGCCACGTGTGGAACGTTTGCTCACAGAACTCTGCTCCATTGGAGGATGTCAGGCAGGGGAGAGTCATGGCCACATGGGAGCAAAGCTGGTGGCCTTGTGTGAACCGCCACAGGAGCTGCTGCCAGTCTGGGGCCTGCATGGTAGGTGGCTTCCTACCCAGTTTTGGGCCCATGGGCTAAACACGGGAGTTAACGGAGGGTGTGCCGTCTGATGGTGTTGGGACAGACAGAGCAGACAGAGCAGATGGGTCGAAAGTTCTGCCCTTGGGAATGGGGACAGTCTGTTGCTGGGGGCCTGGCTGGCTCTACATTCAGTAACAGCAGAGGACGTATTTGTGGACTGTCCACTGTGCTGCACTGGGTGCTTAGCTGTCAAAGATCAGTAAACTGTGGGTGCTGTGCCTGAGCTGTAGGTACAGGCTGAGGAGGAAGGAGCAGGCAGGTTATGGGAGCATAGAGCCCTACTCTCTCCCCAGCTCCTCTCTCCCCTCCCCTTCAGGGCCAGATTTCTCAAGTGCTATCTAGACACACTGGCGTCCTTTCTTTACCCTCATCTGGCTACTTCCTACAAACAGCCGTTGCTGGGGAGACCAACGGCCCCATGGCACTAGTGGCCAGCTCCCAGACCTTCATTTTCTCCACAACTCAGCTGTGTCTCTCTGGTGCATTGAAACACTCACCCCTCTTAACATCAGGAGCCGTGGCTTTCCTCCTACCAGCTGCTGCTGCTTCTCCATTTCCCTGGGCATCTCTTTCTCCTTACTATGGTCTTAAGTGGCAGCTTCCTCAGCTCTGCCGTGAACCCCCCTTCTTCTCTTGCCCCATGCTCTTCCTCTCCTGTGGGTGCAGTCACTGTCTGTATGGCCACAGACCCTGAATCCACATCTCCATACCCATGCAGGCTTACGTCCCCTCTCTAGTTCTACCTGCAGTCTCTCCGCACTGAACTCACCTTCACCTCCCCACCAAGCCCGCTCTCCCTCCAGGGAGCCACCGCCCCCCCCCCCCCCCCCCCCCCTCTCGCTTGTGACTTCGAGTCCTCCTGGCCCCCTCCCTCCCCCTTACATCCAAATGCTCACTGTGCTCAGTCATTCACCAGTCATCTCTAACCCCATGGCTGTCACCACCGTCTGTGGCGCCCTCTTATCAGACCCCAAACTGCGGACGCGCCCACACACCCACTGTTACTTCTGCTCTTTCTATTTTGCCTTTGGTCTCTTCTGAGGCCTGCTGCACAGTGTTTACAGATACGTGAGAGGGACCCATGGCCCTAGGCCCTCCAGTACCTGTGTCTCGGGGTCATCAGAGCCCAGGCTGGCAGCCCCCAGCTTGACCACCTCAGCAAGCTGGGTGATGGTGGCCGCTGACGACTGGGCTGCCTGGGCCAGCTTCTCTGGCGTGGATGCGGCCCCCGACACCAGCAGCTTCGTGTCTTCCACCAAGGCCTTGGCTGTCTTCAGAATGTTCTCCCTGAGAAAGGGGGGAGGGGGACAGAGGGCAAAGCTTGACTACTGGTAGTTAGGAAGCAAAGAGACCCTTCCTAAGGGATTGTTTTTGTTAAAGAGCTTTGAAGAACAAAAAGGATGGATTACCCCTTCCTTATTGGGGCGCTCACTGTCTGCGTAGGAAAACGGGAAGAAGCAAGTCAGCCCCGTATCTAGAGATGATTAATAGTAAACTTCAGTGAAAGTTTCAGGCCTACCAGTTTGGCTCTCTTCCCCCAACCCTGTAGCTCAGTGAGAGGTCAGCTGCTTTCCTGTGGTTCCCCCTAAATTCTTCACAGCTACAGGGAGCTGCAAGGACCTATGGGTCATCAGAACCCAAAAGGCTGTTTCCTGGGACGAGTGACATCATTGGTAACCTCCTTCCTAGCCCAGCTCTGGGAGTGAAGAGAGAGGAAGAAAGGTACCGGGCATGTGGCAAGGCTACGGGGGGCGGGGGGCTCCCCAGCGGCAGATGGAAACCCCACACCAGCCTCCAGGAGCAGGGCCTGAGCAGCCAGCCTGGGACAGACAGCAGGCTCCGAGCCCCACTCTCCATTTATGTCACAGCTCAATGGGCCCGTCCTGGCCACTCCCACTCCCACTGGGTTTGGGAGCAAATCAAAGGCCCATCTCTCTAGTTTGGAAAGTAGAAGATAAAAAAGCTGTCCCCTGCCGGAGCAGGCCTGATTCAGGCTGCCAAAGGCACAAAGCTGGAACACGACTATGTGTTTACAGTTGGCAAAGGGGGCTTGTTTTGATTATGTGGTTCCCTTTCTCCTGTTGAGCATCTTACTGAAATCAAAATGGTTAACCACATTTCCAGCTCCTGGGTGGAGTCTCCAAGCCCATTGGGTCAGCCTGAACCTCTCCCCACCCACGAACTCCCAGGATGATCTCCACCCCCATACCTGTGGTCCGCAAAGGTCTCGTTGTTCTCCGCATTCAGGGTCCCCGCAGTCGCAAACATGATGGTGGTGTCCAGGTCCGCTATAATCCCAGACACAGCAGTGGCAGCTGTGATACATGCCTGGGTCCCCTTGTTCCCAGCCTGCAGAGCTGACAGCACCAAGGACACCTGTAGGCAGAGAGGGGATGTCAGGGAAAATGGGGAAATGCAGAAAATGTAACCCAAAGATTTTCAGACTCAAATATCACTGAAAAAAAAAAAAAAAAAGCCACTCAAAAAATAGAAAAGGATGGAATTCTTCCAAAGTCATTTATAAAGCCGAAATTACCCTGATGCCAAAACCAGACAAGGGTGCCCCAAGAAAGAAAAATTACAGGCCAACGTGCCTGATGAACATCGTACAAAAATCCTCAACAAAATATTAGGATGGTGAATTCAGCAATTCATTAAAAGGATCATACACCATCATCAAGTGGGATTTACTCCAGGGATGCAAGGATGACTCAACACCCACAGATCAGCCAATGTGATACACCAATAAACAATAAAAATCTTATGATCATCTCAATAGATGTAGAAAAAGCATTTGACAAAATTCAACACCCACTGATAGCAAAAAACTTTCAACAAAGTGGGTACAAGGAGAACATATCAACATAATAAAGGCCATATATGACAAACCCACAGCTAACACCATACTCAATGGTGAAAAGCTTGAAGCTTTTCCTCTAAGATCAAGAATAAGACAAAGATCCCCACCCTTGCCACTTTTATTCAACAGAGTATTGGAAGCCCTAGCCAGAGCAATTGGGCAATTAAAAGAATGAAAAGGCATCCAAATTGGAAAGGAAGAAGTAAAACCATCACTATTTGCAGCTGACATACTGTGTATAGAAAACCCCAAAGACTCCATCAAAAACTGTCAGGAACTACTCAATGAATTCAGTAGAGTTGAGGGTTACAAAATCAATACACAAAAATCTGTTGTGCTTCTATAAGCTAATACTGAACTATCAGAGAAAGTAAGAAAACACTACCATTTACACAACTGCATCGAAAAAAATAAAGTACCTACGAATACATTTAACCAAGGGGGTGAGAGACTTATATATGGAAACCCCCAAGATGTTAAAGAAAGAAGCTGAAGAAGGCACAAATAAATGGAAAGATACTCCATGCTCACAGACCAGTAGCATCGGTATTGTTAAAATGTCCACACTACCGAAAGCTATCTACAGATTCAATACAATCCTTATTGAAATTCCAAGTGGCATTTTTTCACAGAAATACAACAAACCATCTTAAAATTTCTATAGAACCACAAAAGACCCTAATTAACCAAAACAATCTTTTTTTTTTTTTTAAGATTTTATTTACTTGACAGAGATCACAAGTAGGCAGAGAGGCAGGCAGAGAGCGGGGGAAGCAGGCTCCCTGCTGAGCAGAGAGTCCAATGCGGGGCTCAATCCCAGGACCCTGGGATCATGACCTGAGCTGAAGCCACTGAGCCACCCAGACACCCCTAACCAAAGCAACCTTGAGAAAGAACACAGTTGGAGGTCTCATGCTCCCTGATTTAAAACTGTATTACAAAGCTGTAGGAATTTAAACAGTACGGTACTGGCATAAAAACAGACACATGGATCAATGGAACAAAGAGCTCAGAAATAAACCCAAGCATATATAGTCAATTAATTTATGACAAAGGAGCCACGGACATACAATGGAGAAAGGACAATCTCTTGGACAAATGGTGTTGGGAAAATTGGACAGCTACATGCAAAAAAATTGAAACTGGATCACTGCCTTACAGCATACACAGAAATTAGCTTAAAATGGATTGAAGACTTGAACATAAGAACTGACACCATAAAACTCCCAGAAGAAAACAGGCAGTAACCTCCTTGCAATAGGTCTTTGCGATGATTTTTAGAATCTGACACCAAAAACAAAAGCCAACAAAAGCAAGAATGAACGAGTGGGGCTCTGTGAAACTAAACATTTCTGCACAACAAAGGAAACCATCAGCAAAATGAAAATAGCAACTTACTGATTAAAGAAAATATTTGCAAATCCTTTAACTGATAAGGGCTTAACATGGAAAATATAGAAAGCATACATACAACTCTAGCAAAGTAACAACCCAATTAAAAATGGGTGGAAGATCTGAAAAGACATTTTTCCAAAGAAGACAAACAGATGGACAACAGGTACACAAAAAGATGCTCCATATTGTAAAATATTAAGAAAATGCAAAATCAAACCACAGTGAGATACCATCTCACAGCTGCTGGCATGGCTCTCATCAAGAAGACAAGCGATAACAAGTGTTGGCAAAGTCGCAGTGGAAAGGGAATCTGGTGCCCAGTGGGTGGGAATGTACGTTGGTGCAGCCGCTGTGGAAAATAATATGGGGGTTCTTCAAAAAACTACCAGGAGAACTACCGTAGCATTCAACAATTGCAGTTCTGGATATTTACCTGATGCGAACAAATTTTAACTAAAAAAAAAAAAAAAAGTACCTCTATGATCACTGCTGCATTATTTACTACTGCTAATCTATGGAAGCAACCGAAATGTCCACGGATGGATGAATGGATAAAAAAATATGGTATACGTCATCCAGTAGGATAGTATTCAGCCACAGGAAGAATGAAATTTTGCCATCTGTGACAACATGGACAGACCTCGAGGGCATTATGCTAAGTGAAGTCCGCCAGAGAAAGAAATGCCATATGATCTCCCTTATATGTAAAACCTGAAATAAAACCAAAAAACCCAAGCTCACAGATACAGAGAACAGAATGGTGGTTGCCAGCAGCAGGGGTTGGGAGTTAGAGAAATGGCTGAACTTTTTTTGTTTGTTTGAATGCATCGAATAAAAATTAAAAACAGAACAAAACAAAACCCAACCATCTAACCTTCTAGCAAAAGGGATCAGTTTTCTGGAAGGAGGAATGGTGTGGATTGAACCAAGGAATTTAGAAGGCACAAACTTCCAGTTACAGAATATAAGTACGTACAGTGGGCAACATGGTGACTACAGCTGACTTTCGTGTATGTCGCACAGCAGTGTTAAGAGTGCATCTTAAGAGTTCTCGTCACCGGGAGCAAACGTATACATTTTGTATTGACGTGAGATGGTGGACGTTCCCAAATTTACTGTGGTAATCAGTGTATATGTAATACACGAAGACAAACCATCATGCTGTCTGTACCCCCTAGACTTGTGCAGTACCGTCTATCAATTATACCTCAAAACCAGGGGAAAGGGGCGCCTGGGTGGCTCAGTGGGTTAAGTCTCTGCCTTTGGCTTGGGTCATGATCTCAGGGTCCTGGGACTGAGCCCCACATTGGGCTCTCTGCTCAGTAGGCAGCCTGCTTCTCCCTTTCTCTCTGCCTGTCTCTCTGCCTACTTGTGATTTCTGTCTCTCTCTGTCAAATAAATAAATAAATAAACCTTAAAAAAAAAAAAAACCAGGGGAAAAAGTAAAGAACAAACAAGAACAGGGTGCCTGGGTGGCTTAGTGGGTTAAGCCACTGCCTTTGGCTCAGGTCATGATCCTGGAGTCCTGGGATTGAGTCCCACATCAGGCTTCTCCTGCTTTGCGGGGAGCCTGGTTCTTCCTCTCCCTCTGCTTCTCCCCCTGCTTGTGCTCTCTCTCTCTCTCTCTGTGCCATATAAATGAATAAAATCTTTTTAAAAAAATACACACACACACACACAAGAACAGTGGATTTTCTCTCTGGGGCTCAATGCAGCCGATGGGTTAACACATGTTTTGGTGTCAACATTTCAGGCTGAGTACCAGCATTGTCATTTGCTGGCTAAACAACTTTGGGCAACTGTTCGACCTTTCTTCGTGTCCTCATCTGTACAATGGGGACATTATTTCTTGCCTATCAGGGTTGTTGGGAGGAACAAGGAGGTGGGGGTTGTGTATCTATTTTCCAGCAGGGCACCTAGTAAGTGATCAGTAGAGAGTAGAAAATTTTAACAGGATTGTTTCTGGGACCAGAGAGAACATCAGGCTCCTGTGAAAGGTGTGGCCATTTCTGTCCCCTCTGATCAGGTTTTCTGAAGAACAGCCGCCTGCTACCACTCCTTACTCCTGCCCTTGGTTGCCTCTGGATTGGAAAAGCTTCAGGGTGGACCCCATCATGGCTAAAGCCCAGAGCGTACCTGTGTATGTCCCCTCTGCAACCCAAGCGCTCCCTTGCACTGCCACCTGCCAGTAAATAACAATTCGAGTGATGTGAGAGTCCAGGAAGTTGGCTCTGTTCACTCTGGTGACTTCCACGCCAGAAACCCTTTGCTGCCACCTGCCACCCATCACCCCCCCTCCCCCCCGAACACCCCCACTGTTCCTAGAGACACCTTCCCACAACACAAAGCTAACTTTACCACACCCTTGGGTACAATTCTCTCCTGCTGTCAAGGAAAGATGAGCTTCTTGCATGAGTTCAACTTCTCAGCCCTCCCACCACATTCTGGCCATATCAGCCAGCTCCTCACTTCCCCAAACATGCCCCACCCCTCCAGCAGGGGGTCTGCCCCTGCCTGCAATGCCCCCTCCCTGTTCTCCAGCTACCAGCCTGCTCACCCCGCAAAAGCCAGCTCCAAGTCCCCGACGTCCTCACTCAGAGACACAGCTTGTGTCCTGAGGATTCCCAGGCATGCTGTCCCTCCCCCAGGACAGCCCATTTAGCACAGGTTAAAACAGCATGCATCTGGCTAGTGACCAGAGACTCTGAGTCTGGGGACGGTCTGGAGCTGTCCTACGAATCTCTGTGCACACACCCACCATCCTCAACTATGGCTGAGCCAAAGAAGAGTCTGAAAATATTCTGTGAAGGCACTGTTTAAAAAAAAACAACAAAAAAACACACTGACTGGGACGGAGGACTTACACCATCAGTGAGAGCACAAAGTTTGTAGGCTCTCTTCCTTCTGTGCTGCTCAGATCTTAGCAGAGGTGCTGGACACAGCCTAGCAGACAGGGCAGGGGGCCCACTTCCTGAGCACCCGCCGTGTCCCAAGACTAGCCCACAAGGATTAGTTTCTCTTCCTCATTTGCCCGATCCTCCTACCCAGAGTTCAATGCCACCATGTCCCACCAGGAAAAGTCAGAATGGCACAGAGCTGGCCTGGGAATGAAGTATCCAGTTTCTGGAAAACTCCTGGAGGACAGGTGACAAAGGCCAAGACAGGGAGTTCTCCCAGACTTGGGATGTTCTCTGTCAGACTTAAAGACAGAGTCCAGAAACAGGGTCCCACCAGCTAAAAAAGGGGCCCAAGTCAGCAGTTTATGGCTATGAGTTCCCAGGGGGTGAGGACACAAAGGTGAGCAAGACGAGAGGCCCATGGTGGGTGGGGAGTTACGGACACAGCCAAGCCACGTAAGAAAGACACACCACGTAAAGACAGCAGGGCAGGAACACAGAGCAAGAAAGCACCGAAAAGGCTAGTTCAGTCTAAACAGCCGGTTCCCTGCCTTTGAGTCTCCTCTAGGTGTCCTAAGTCAGGGACCCTCTGCTGGGAGAAGCAGGAAGACAGAGAATGGCTCAGCAAGATCACGGAGCTGGTTCCCACAGGCCAACATCATGCAGCCGGGACCCCCGCCTCCCCTCCTTCAGGGGCCAGCTCCAAGGTCTTCCATGGGGGAACTTGGCCAGAGTAACTTCAACAAGGAAGGGCTTTGAAAGGAAGGACAACGCCTTCCTCCAGCTGAGAGATTGATTTCCTCCTCCTGTGGCATTCCAGGCAGCCCGGGCAGGCCTGTGGGCCGAGGGAGACAGCCAGACTCCGCTCAGCCTCGGCGAGGGGCCAGGTACACAGCGGCCTCTGCAGCGGTAGCTGCCAGGTGCGGGGTCCCCTGCCCGCCCCTCCAGTCCAGTTGCCAGCTTCTAGGCAGGGCACAGCTCTATGACCTGGGGATCCGAGTGAAGGGAAGGACAAGCCAGCAAAGCACCGATACTCCAGCCTGCATTTTGAGTGGCCTGGAGGACAGCGGTCCTGAAGGAGGACTCGGAGAAACAAGCCAAGCAGGAGACAAGTATCCTGCTGGGGGTCTGTAAGGGAGCTCCAGGAATGCAGGGATGCTGAGAATGGGCTTTGTTCAGCGGGGACCCCAGTGGGCGAAGAGAGTCAGAAGAGAATTTACAGAGAGCAGCAGCCAGGATGTCGGACGTGGTGAACCGTGGGTCTGGCCCTGTGCCAAGCACCTTGACACACACCACCACATTTCATCTTCACAACCCTACAGGCCCGGCTTATATCTCCCTGCGCTCATTCTGCAGATGAGGGTACTGGGGCTGGGAAGGGGACAGTCACTGCGCTGAGACCCTAGCGCCCCATGCACTATGCTGTGTATGGGATTCTCGCTGCCAACAGCCGCTGTTGGAGATCGAACGCCTCCACCGGGCTCCTGTTCTCGCAACCACAGTGCAGGGCCACTGTGGGCAGGGTGCTCAATGCTCCTCTGCACTTCACGGTCTCTTCTGGGAGGAAAGAGGGTGTGTGAAGTGAGCTTTAGGCCCTTCCCAGTGCCCTGCACCTGGGAGCCTCCCTGAGAAGGAAGCTCAGGGGTCACGTGTCAAAAGCAGTTGCAGGGTGGGGCTCCTGGTGTCCCAGTGACTTTGACACGGTCTGTCCCTTCTGTCTGCAGGAAAGTGCATCAAAAATGTGCACCGTGGGGGTCCTGACTTCCGAAGGAACAGTCCCTCTCATGTTCTCAATTTTCTCAGGGCTATGAATCACCCCAGCCCCTGATGGGCTCCATCCCTGGGGAAATCCCTGCATGAGAGAGATCACCAGACCTGACCAGATCGTCTTTGGCTTAGCCTCCCACTTATGCTCCTGGTCACAGTGGGCCACCGAGGGCCAGTGCGGGTTTTGGTGACCGCGTTGGGCCCGAGGACTGTTCCTTACCTTCTCTGTGACTGCGCGGGCACACTCGATGAGCTCCCTCTTGGTGTAGCTGTCTGTGGGGCACACCTGGAGGGCCCCCGCCTTCTGCACCAGGAAGATGCAGCCGTGGCCCAGGTCCTGCACGCGAGTGCGAATCTGGAAGCCGATCTGTGGAGGCAAGCCCAGGGTGGGGAAGGAGAGGCATGAAGGATTCTGCCATCGAGGGCTCCCCTACGTGGAAAATTTCTTCTATGTCCTATGGGAGCCTGGCTAGGAAAATTCCACTGCTGTTAGGAGTCTGTGCTTGGTGGAGTATGGAATTTGGTTGATTTTACTTCCCTTTTTAGAGCCTGTAAAATGCCCACAGTCCCCAGGAAGCAAGCCTATGTCCCTCATCCTAGCCTAATGCCCTTCTGATATTTGTTACCTTTTCTGGCGTGTTGTTTACTTGTGTCCCCAGCCACCTGACAGAAATGTTAGAAGAACTCTGTAGGGGTAATTATTATTCATTTATGCATTTATTGAGCTCCTACTGTGTGTCAGGGCCTCTCCTGAGCAGTGATTGCATTTACTTTCATTTATTCTGCACGGCAGCCCTAGAGAACCATTAGAAGTTCAAAATATATAGCATTGGTAAGAAGCATAAAGCATTCAGGTTCTTGCAAAGTTGGTACATTTACAAGCAGAGCACCCCCTTCCCTCAGCTGTGTCCCATGGTGAGAGCCAACATGCTGGGCCCAAGCTTCCTTTCTCTATGGCCAGGTTGTGGTTTCCTTAAAAAGGTACATTTTTAGAGCTAAAGGCTCCGCAGGCACACATTCTTTTAATGACCCCTGAGTTCTGTGATTATAAAAGGTACTTTGCCTAAAAGAACCCAAATGAGCTCCATGATAGATAGGCAGTCTCTTTCAGGAGTAATAAATTCCATCTCCTGACGTTTGCATTCCTCTGGCTGTTTCATGTCAATTTTCATTTTAGTCTGATCAATACAGCTGCCATAAATAACCTGCCATCCAGCCCAGGTAAGCAACTAAAAGCAAAACACCTTAAGCTTTAGTTAGTAAGTGTTATTTCCAGGACTCCACGACAGCAAGAAGTGGTGGCTTCTCCTTCCAGCATCTGCCAAGAAGAGCTAACAAGATCTCAGGTATCTTGAGTAAAAGCTGGGAGATCTGGACCACCAGGGTGCTATCTTCCAGCATTGTCCTATTGGAGTTCAAGGTGGTGGTGGTGGGGGGGGTTGGGGTAGCAAAGGGGGTTGCAAATGTTAACCCTATTATGGAAACACATCATGCTTTTAGGGGAAAAAAGGTAATCCTCTTGTCTCCTTAAGGCCCAAAGGATATTTAAAATCCATTTAATAGGGGCGCCTGGGTGGCTGAGTGGGTTAAGCATCTGCCTTTAGCTCAGGTCATGATCCCAGGTCCTGGGATGGAGCCCCGGCCTGCTTCTCCCTCGCCCTCTGCTTGCTGCTCCCCCTACTTGTGCTCTTGGCCTCTCTCTCTCTCTGTGAAATAAATAAAATCTTTAAAAAAAAATCCATTTAGTAGAAAAGTCTCCTGATCCAGAAGGGGGAGGTTTGGCTCTTTTGGGGTCTGCCAAAGCTTCACCATCAGGGAGGGCTGCCTGCGGACTGTCTCCAGGTGGGATACAACACGAGGAAAACATACAGGCTGGCAGCTCTGCAAACAGGTCCACCACTGAACAGGGGAGAGGTACTGTGTTCAGTCCCCCTGAGGAAACCCCCAAAATGCAGCTGTTCGCCGGGCACGTCTGCTGGTTTAAACACAAGGCCTGGCTGAGGCAGGGGAGCTCACTCAGGTGAGCACAGGCCTCTTAAGTCACTCCCAAGTGGCCCTGGAGGTGGGAGGATGAAGGGACCTCCTCTTCCACTATCTCAGCCCCACGAAAGCTGAAAACTCCTCCTGGCCCTTGAGCCTTTTCCGATCCATGTACTGAACCCCTCACACTACAAGGTCAGAGCTAATCCATACACAAGGGCTCTGTGACCACAGGTCTCCAAGTGACAGGCACTGTTGGGAGAGCCAGGTAGGGGGCACATGGTGGAAGAAACAGAATTTCAAAATAAAGCTGACCTTACTAGTTCAACCTCTTGTTGACAGGCGAAGAGACTGTGCAGGCTCAGAGAGGTGATGTGAGTGGCCCAAAATCACACAGCCAGTGTCTGGCAAAACCAGATGAGAATCCAGGTCGCTCTACCAGTCAGGTCACTCTTTACTAACGTCGTAACGTCGTTGTTTTCCTCACTTAGCATGGGTACCATCCCCGCACAGCCCCCCACCCCCGATCTTTCCTAGAAACTCAACATGTAAAATTGACATAATGTGTTCTTAGTATACCCTTCCTTTTTGAGTTAAAATTTATGTCCTTGACTCAATAAGAAGTCAACAATGTGACTAAGTTAATCAAAGTTTAAAAGTCGGATTCTGGGGGTGCCTGGGTGGCTCAGTGGGTTAAGCCTCTGCCTTTGGCTCAGGTCATGATCTCAGGGTCCTGGGATCAAGTCCACATCAGGCTCTCTGCTCAGTGGGGAGCCTGCTTCCTCCTCTCTCTCTGACTGCCTCTCTGCCTGCTTGTGATCTCTTGTCTGTCAAATAAATAAATAAAATCTTAAAAAAATAAAAATAAAAATAAAAAATTAATTAAAAAGTTGGATTCTGAAGCCTGATACAGCCTCAGCTACCGCCTCATTTCTGTATTTTGCTTGGGCTGCGGTGTTGAGAAAATCCTGTTGTGTGCACACAGGTTTTACTGGAGCCCCCGAACCCCAGCAGGGAAAAGCTACATCAGCCTGAGGTCTGCACGAGGCCACCCAGCGGGCCACGGTATGGCGCTGGCAGCCCTCAAAGGGTTACCTCATGGTCCGGCCCAGAGTTTATTCAAAAACACACACAGTTTTTCCTATGAGTTTTAAAAATTGTTCAGTTAGGTTTAAAAAGTGAGCCTTGGGGGCGCCTGGGTGGCTCAGTGGGTTAAAGTCTCTGCCTTCGGCTCAGGTCATGATCCCAGGGTCCTGGGATTGAGCCCCACATTGGGCTCTCTGCTCAGCAAGGAGCCTGCTTCTCCCTCTCTCTCTGCCTGCCTCTCTGCCTACTTGTAATCTGTGTCTGTCAAACAAATAAATAAAATCTTAAAAAATAAATAAATAAAATAAAAAGTGAGCCTTGAGTCAAAGGTACAGAACTTGCACAGCGCCTCCCTGGGTCAGGGGCCGGAAGAGTAAGGTGGGAAGCCCCAGAGTGAGGAAGCCCTGTCTCGGAAAGAACATTCTCTGGCCCACTTCTGCTCCCTGCTCGTAGCCACGCCCGAGCATCCTGTCCACCCAGTGGTGGGCACTCAGGTGAGCACAGGCCTCTTAAGTCACTCCCAAGTGGCCCTGGAGGTGGGAGGGTGAAGGGACCTCCTCCTCCACTATCTCAGGCCTGGAACCAATGGGCAGACATGACACATCATCAACAACTCTCTCAGGTTCCCTCAGCGCTCTCGCGAGAGGCCTTGCCATGGAAAACACCCCAGTGTCCTGATGCTCAGCCCCTCCCTTGGAGGGGACACCAGGCATGTAGCACAGGATTCCGCAAGTGCACTGCAGAGCTGGGACAGTGGTCTTTTGGAGGGAGAGTCCAGGTAGGAAGCACGGCCAAAGACTAGCACCAGAAGGCAGAAGGATAACCTAAGATAAGGCAACAGTTGTACAAAGCCATTGGCCAACCCAGGGCTTGGTCCTGGCGAGGGGTCTGTGCCAGGGCACATGATTACCTTCTGGGTGCCTGAAGGCCTCCTTGAGGTTTGGCCACACAATCCTGCTGTATGCTCGGCTACACAGTCCTATTCGGACAGCACGCAGGAGGCTGAGTCTCATGGGGGACAGGCTGAAACAGGCTTCACTTATTTTCACAAACTAAAAGGGCTGAATGTAACAGGAAGGGGAGGGATCTCAGGACACCAGCCCCACGCCTGCCCTCAGCCCTTCACCCAGGAGGGCAGCACGGGCAGCAGAAAGGTCCAGGGGCTCCACTTCTGGTCCAGCCCCTTCCTGGCCTCCAACACCCTGGCTGAGCTGGCTAACCTTCCGGGCCTTTGTTCCCTCCCATGTGAAACGGGACAGAACCTGCCCTACTACCCAGGGCTGATGGACCAAATGAAAGGTGTGAGTGAACACATCTCAAAGTAGAAAATACCACACAAATGCTGTGACAGGAGGTAGCTTGGTGAGGCAGAAGCAGCAAAGGCTATGATGCCCTGGGTTTGAATCCTGACCTTGCCATGTTTACTTCTTACTTGAAACTTTACTTATTCCAAACTCAAGTGGTTTCCATACTGACTCTCGTAGCTGCGTGCTCTTGGACCATTTAACTAAGCTCCCTGAGCCTCAGTTTGCTAACCTGTGAAATAGGGGAAGAATGACGGATTGTGTAGTTCAGAAGGTACATGGGACAGCCCCCAGCATGGATCTGATCCGTGGTGTGGACTTGATGAACATCTCTCCGATTATTCTTTTCCACGGGTATGTGGGACAGCTAGGACAGGAACTTAAAGGGGACAACAAAAGCAACATACTCTACTGCAATCTCCCAGAACATTCTGTACTGCTTCAAGAACATCTGAGAGAGGGAATGCATTTTTAAGATTGTATTAAAAAAGATAAGGGTTTAAAAAATGCTAACTTCTCAAAGTAACACTAAATTTCTCAGCAAATCTGACCAGCCCCCAGGGCAATCTGACTTACCACCAACCAGTGTGTATTATAAAGGAATGTGGCTCAGACATCCAACTTGGGGTTTTAAACTGGCAACTGCAGTAAAGCGTGACTCAAACGTCAAGAAAAACCCTCAATTCCCTTCTTGCCCAAATGGGCATCTTCCCCTGGTTTTACATCCTGGGGGAAATTGGAAGTCTGGCCTTTGTGAAGTTTTGGATCAAATTTCAGTTGGAGGGGGTCTCAGAAATACTAATCATCTTCTTTACTGCCTAAAACTAAACAAAATGTACACATTTGTCTCAGGCTTTCAAAACAATCACATCTGAAACCAGGTCAAATATCATTGGCCTGGGAGAGTCTGTGAACACCGAAAGGCAACTGCAGATGTTAGCTGGCAGACTTTAGAGTTTCTCCTTAAAAAGAAAAAAAAAAAAAAAAAAAATGGAAGGGCAAGAATCACGAGCATAGAACAGAAACAGGGCATCACTTTCCACCTACAAAAAGTGTGTCTCGGAGCGGAAAGTTTTAAAGAATTCTAGTGTAGATTACCCATCTCATGTTTGGGAAAAGGCTGCGGTTCTTGCCACAGGCTCTCGACAAATGTTCCTGCCAGCTTTGAAGACACATAGTATTACACGTGCTCACAGCAGAGTTCCCTGGGAGACAAAGCTGTAGTCACTAGATCTTTCCCCCCCAGCGTTTATATTTAGCACTGGTGGCTCACAGGATCTCCCTTTTCAAGAGAACAGTGATCTTTGGGAAGTTGCCTGAGGGTTTTGACTTTCCTCAAGGAAGTCATTTTCACAGTGGTGTTAGCAGGAGTTTGAGTTTTCCCTGGAAAAAGCAGCAGATAAAGCTCCTGCTTGGTGTTCAGAGGGGAGAGGTAGGGCTTCTCCTGTAATTGTCACATTCTGGAAAAGACCAAAATGCTGGCTCAGCACCACAGCCGGCAGGACCGTGAGGGAGCAACTTCTTCCTTCCTTGCCCTGGATAGAAATACTTTCACATGCTGTGAGGTGGAGCCCCCTTGGGAGAGAAAACTTATTCCACAGTCTTGGAATAAAAAAACAACATTGCCTTAGGGATCCCCCTGACCGTCTCAGTTTTCCCCTAAATATCTGTCAGGCAAATGCACACAAAGAATTTTCCTTAGCAAGCCACTGGTAATTGTATATTCTCTCTGCCCCTTTTGGCTCCAGGTCACACTGCTCTTGTGTCTGGAATGTAAAATATAACTCAAGACGCATGGGTGTAAAGGGAGAACCTTAATGAAAACGTCAGCTGCTACAAATGTGGGGCCAGGGACTAAAGTAATTTCGTGTGGGGCTTTCAGCAATACCTTTCCTTTCCTGGCTGCTCTGACGTTATTTTGTATTTTGCTTCATGGTCTGGGTTGCAGGAAGAAAATCTGCCTGTTTCACATGTGGGCTGGGGAGCTCTGAAGAACTTAGACATGGAAAGGTCTCCACAGATCATGGGCTCTTCACACAGTAACTCAGGCCGCGGGTCAACATTGGAACCGACCAGACAGATCTGGATTCCATTTTTAAAAGATTTCTGGAAACAGAGATCCAAACCCTCCCCACAGCCTCTTTGTTTTTTGAGTCCTGCGAAGCCTAACACTTTTTCCTTTTTTCCTGATTGTTCCTTCCTGTGATGTAAGTTCCCTTAGGCTTGTTTAGGAAATCCAATCTTCCACAGAATCCTGATTGGGGCCGGGGGAGGGGGGGGTGGGTTCTGGTGATTTTTCTTTCTGGGTAGTGACTTCATGGACTCGTTACAAACAGAATTATTCATGCTGCAGCCTAAACACTCAACCATACTAAAATCTCAAAGTGCAGGCACTGTTAGAAACCTCCTTCCTCCCATGCTAGATATGTATGTAAGCATGTGCATACATAAGAGACTCCTGTTCACATGCGTTGTTATGACATGTTAGCAAGGGATTTAACTTTGGGTCATTTCTGCATCATCTCTGGGAGTCTTTGTGAAGACATGCTTAGAATGGACTCCAGGCAAACCAGCACTAAGTGGCCTGGGGACACGGACTGTCATGGCAGGAAGGGAAGATCAGTCACAGCTGCCCGCCCTGAGAGCCGGCTTCACTTAGGAATATCATCAACGGGGTTTGTGTTTAATACAGTGTCACAGAATGTAGTTACCTTCATTTTCTCAGCATCCCTGCAATGTACTCCACTATTCTTTACCGCAGACCGAGCTCTGTGCCTCTAAGGAGCCATGTGATAGCTGGGCATGGCACACCTCCTCTCTGCTATTGCTGGCAGGGATGCGGTCGGGTGTGTGCCGCTCCAGCTGGCCTGTTTGCTTCCCAGGGGACCCCGTGGTTACTCGGGCATATCAGATAGGAAAGGGGGCTCTTAGAAAGTGGCCTCTGGGACCAAACTTTGGCCAAACTAAGGCTCTTATGGGTGTAGGCATTCTAAGGCAAAGTCTGTGTTCGGCCACTAGGGAAAGGGAAGTTTAGGGAAGGGAGGTAGGTAATGAAGAGGAGTTCATATGAGATACGGGGGACGGTTCATAGAAAGTCACCAACAATAGCTGGGTAAGACTTTGTGTCACAAAAGTAGGCTAGCCAGCCCTTTCTCAGACCGGGACGGTTAACTCCCACACTCGGCTCTTCCAATACTGCTGTGAGCCTTTAGGAAACAGGAAAATCACTGAGGAGGATGTCCTAACCAAAAGGAAGATGGTAGCTTGTGTTCTGCTTTGGGAGTCAGGTGACAGGCCAGGAGACAGGGAACCTGGCCAGACACTCCCAACAGAGGGCACCTGTCTGAAAGCCCACTTCCCCAGGTGGACCCAGCTCTCCGCCTGCTGGCCTCTGAGCACAGCCTGGGCTACTGGGTCTGAAGCTGGGGGACGGGCGGGAGAGTGGTGGGAACTAAGCCTAGTTTTGGCTACCAGGCTGGAATCTTCTAGAGTCGAGCTGAGCTAGCCAGAATCCCCCGGGAGTGGGTACCCATGTGCATGTGCTTCTTAAAACAGGGGCTTATGGTGGCAGACCTCCTCTGGCTCCGCCGTGGCTGCTGCCATCTGGCCCTGGAGAGCCAGGTGCCCATAGTCACTGGTCATTTGTGAAGCCAGTCCTCCCAACTCCTCCGGGTTAGTAACCGACTTAGTCATCTGGAAAAAGAAAACAAGCAAGACACAAACACACACACACACACACACACACACACACGGAAAAAAGCATGAGAACCATGTGTTAATTCCACTGGAAGCCAAAGGGTTTCATTCACTTTTAAGCTCTGGACTTGCATTTGGGGCTGGAGAGGGGAATTCAAGCAAAGCCCATGCTGCGACGTGCACAACAGGCCAGGGCCCCTCTCAGGCCAGCAGGTCCTGGTGGGGCCAGCGGGAGACATGCTAGGCTCAGGCTGGGCAGGCCCTCACGGTCCACACTGGGAGGTGAGCACGGAGGCCCCACCAGCCTGGCCCTGCGGGTCACCATGAGACTTCCCTTGGGGAATGCAGGGGGTATGAGCCCTAGGCAGTGCCCATCCTTGGTCACATTCTGCAGTAGAGACCTGACCTGGTCTCTGGGAACCCAGAAGCAGGTCCCACCCTGGCAAGAGGATGTGAGGATAGCAGGGCTGTCAGGGAAACCATGATTGAGAAGTGGCAGATGAGAATCTGGGAGGAAGATAATTCAAGAGAATACAGCTTTATAAGCAATTTGTGCCAAAGGAGGACAAGGGTTCAGCCACAGATTTGGTTAAGTGTCCACTGCAGCCTCAACGGCTGAGCTATGCCTCCTCCTCATTAGGATATTCAGTATTTTCCGCCTGCTTCATAGAAAAACTTACCTAAAAATTTATCCTACCTAATACACTCGTTTCAAGACCTTCTTTTTCCTCTGACAAAATGCCTCTTAGTGCTCCGAACAGCAGTTTTAACTGCCCCCCAGAAAGGTGTCCTTGTCTTTCCTAAGAGGCTTCCCTCCTGCTGCACCTCTTCTCTCTCTCGGCGGCCACAGAAGGGCTAAAGAGGGCGCCTGGGTGGCTCACTTGTTAAGTATCTGCCTTTGGCTCAGGAAATCCCAGGGTCCTGGGATCGAGCCCCTCGTAGGGCTCCCTGCTTGGCGGGAAGCCTGCTTCTCCCTCTCCCACTCCCCTGGCTTGTGTTCCTGCTCTTGCTATCTCTCCCTCTTTGTCAAATAAATAAACAAAATCTTTTTAAAAAATTTAAAAAAAGGAAGAGCTTAAAAATAAATGTTTTGAATGGCCCATTTCTGCCCATTAACCCTGCTAAAGGGAAGGGTTAGCCATCTAAGGCATGTTTGCCAGGAAATGTCACTGGCTGGCAGGTGTAGGCATGGGTTCCTTGGGAACCCCGAGAGAGGGAGGCTGTACCTTCAGCTGCTTCGTTTGAGTCCTGCCACACAGACCACAGCAATTCCGGAGTAACCCGACATGATAAAAGCAGGGCCCTTGCCCACTCAGGGTCCAGGCTGGCTAACCTAGCAGTGGCCACGCAGCCCTCAGCTGGACTCCTGAAGGGCACGGACATCCGGGCCTGAGATGGGCCTGCTGAGAACCTAGCCCAGGAGACGTTCCAGAAACACCAGGGGGCCACTCCAAAGATTTTCGCCTCCTGCTGCGCTGTGCTCCCTCCTCAGAGGACCCGGCACAGCAGGGCCACCTCATCTGACCCATGCCCCACCCCAGAGTCCCCCGGAGCAGCGCCAGCTCTTTCAGTCCCGGAGATGGGTACTGCTCCTATTCTCCTTGCCGGCCCACGTCCTGTTAAGCAACAGTGAACCTGGCACAATCACAGGGTTTCTAAGGAGGAGCAGCGGCCAGGGAAGCCTTTGTGGTCCAAGCTCAACCTCTAGTGGACACATGACTACATGACAAAATCATCCCGAGGGGCCGGCCTGGTGGGGTAGGTGCGGCACCACAGCTCAGTCTGGTCCCTCCAGCCAGGAGGCTGCTTCGTCTCTCTACTCAGCCTCACACGGCAGCAGCAGAGAGACATGGTCCCAAATTTTATTCCGTGGCATCTGAGCCTTCAAAGGGTGAAGAGGAACTTTCTTACTATGCACTCCTGTTTATTCTTCGAGGACACCACTGGTTGTCTTTTGTACAACTTTTTAACCTATCAAGATAGCATTCTCCATTCTTTATCCTATTTTAATCTAAAGAGGCATATAATACAATTCCGATAGCAATACATTTTCTCAAAAATAAAAAAAAGGAAAAAGAAAATTACCTCCAAAGGTCACATACCTTCTGTTGTCAGGGAAATTGTCTTTATATAACCATGCTGTTTCACTTTGCCTGAAAGACTGGCATATCTTTCTGTCCAAGGACTATACCTTGATTCCATTAGACAACCTCTATTGGGCCCTACACGTCTTCTCTTGTATGTAACTTTATATACACACCTTAAGACCTATGCAAGGTGAATAGGATTTGTTTTCCTTCCCCTTATCTCTAACTTCCTTCTCAGTTTCTCTCCCTCCTTTGCTCCCTTGTCCTCATGCCCAAGTCTCAATTATCTGTAATTCCCTCTTGCAGCTTTTCCAGGAAATGAGAGCTCCAGCGGATGGGGGTGTCTAGACCACAGGCAGCCAGAGAGACCACAGATAAAGGACAGAGCTGGGGCCCAGAAGGAACTAGAAACAAGGGGTAGTCTCTGTCTAACAGAGACCCTGATTTGAAGACTCAGTGGTGGTAGTGGTGGACACCAAGGCAACCGACAGTGGGTGGGGCAGCTCTTTTCCTCTTACCATTTCCTGAGCTGTCACCGCGATGGCTTTGGAATATTTAACCACAGTCGTCTGATAGTCGACGAATGTTCCCTTTGGTTCTGGAGGAGTGCCTTCATCCAGCTACAGAGGAGAGAAAAAGAACCCATATGTCAGGAGAGGACAGTTGATGTATGGGCTGTATTTACCAGGAATTTTGAAAAATGGAGATGCCCACAGAATTTCTTTGGCTAAGAGTCAACAGCATCCCCCAGCTTTGGTGATAAGGACTTTAACAGAGGTACAAAGACTGCACTCGGGATACACAGGCAAGGGGGCCCCAAGCCTTGTCTGAGAGGAGATTGAGAGCATTCCCAAGGAACAACATTTCTGCCAAATCTCACCAGGGGAAGAGTCCGCTACATATAGAAGGTAGGGGAAGGGGTCCTAAGAAGTAGCTTAGAGTTCAAGCATATGGTGGTGGGCATAAGCCAGACACTTTTAGGGGAGCAGAGAAAGGCAGAAGATGAACTGGAAGAGGAGGCAGAATCTACACTATGAAGGGCTTCCCTAGGAATGGTGTAGTCCATAGAGGTCTATGCCCTGGAACCCTCCTTCTGATCTAAGCTGGGGAAGACAAGGGATTGGAAGCACTAGTTCCTCATCTGACTTTGAGAGCAATACGAATTGAGAGATGGGAGAGATCGCTGTGAGAGGAAGAGCCGGGACAAGTGGGACAATGACTCTGTCCCTCGAAGGGTTGAGGACATACTGGTTCAGAAGTCTTGTCTTGGAGACCTGGTTCCAGGGCTTATGAATGGGCCCCAAGCTCGTTGCTTAAATTCTGAGGTTCAGGTCCTTCAGTGGAAACTTCCTAGCATCAGAAGGTTGTAGTACACATCAACTGAGAACATACCCGGCCAAGAGCTACATGAAGGAAGAGGAGATGATGACCAGGTTGATGACAAAGATGATGACAATGTCAATGATGACCATGATGAAGAAAAAGGCAACATCTTCACCACCATCTTCATCATTACCGTCACCATTGACTGCTGAATGGTATTCCAGGTGAGGAGCCAAAATAAGGAGACGTGAACACAGGAAGATTGAGTGCAGTGGGCAGAAGAGGGGGCTGTTAGAGCAGTGAGGATGAAGCTGAGCTGTCTGATGAAGAACCTTGAAATCATGAGGAAAATGGTGGGATCTGGGGTACACAACGACATATTTGAGAAGACCTTCCTGGCAGCTCTCTGCCATATAGTTCGCAGTCGCGGCAGAGACTAGGGACCAAGAGGGCACTTAGGAAACATTAGATGGTGTCTTCAATAAGAGCTCAAGGTCGCAAGCAGGCACTAACTAAGACATGAACCGAAGGAACAGTTTCCTGCTGCCCATGTGTGATGTGGCCGCACGGTTCTGGAAGCATTTCTACCAAACTTCCACCAAAGCATCAACATGGACTCCAGGCTGGATTTTTCTGGGATTCTTTATAAGGAATAAGCTGCTGCCAGTGATCTCCATCACACTATGGGGGTCCTGCTAGTCAAATGAGGACTGAGTTGTGGACTCAATCACTCGGTATAAACTGATTGGGCATCTTCTACGTGTCCAGCAACGTGCTGGGAGACTTCGTATGAGCCACAGCCTAAGAGCAGACACACCAGGAGCTGGAGCTGGAGGGAATTTTAGAACACAACCTGCCAGTCCGAAGACAATGAGAAAGGGAAGAACAAAGTGATCATTTTTTTTAAAATTTCACATTTATTTAGTTCAAAGAACTCTCCTTTGTTCTGAGATTATAGCCTTCCTACTTTTTTTGAGGGGGATGTTAACATGACCTTTCCGTTATGAAACAGTAGTGATGCAGAGAGCGGGCTTTTTGTCTCTTCAACCCCCTCCCCTGGTCAGAAAGAAGAAAAAACTATCACCACCATCAACACCCAACAACTCAAAGAAGCAAACAAAGAAAAGGTAGTGGGTCACAAAAACTCCAAGACTGAGAACCATTGACCTCACTCAATAGGGAAACCAAGGTTCAGAGAGCTTGAGTCATTTGTCCAAGGTCACCCAGAAACCCAATTACTTCATGTTAACCTATCAATTCCCAAACCTTCTGGTGCTTAGACATAGAGAATTCCAGGATGAACCTCCATAGCAGAAGCACCAAAAGGGGCACAAATTACATCCAAGTTACACTCAACGATGGGTACGCTCATTTTTTCTGCCAGTCACTCAATGACTGAGAATTTCAGACAATGATGATGACAGTCTATCAATGCTGTGACCAAATAACCAAAACTCGCCCTATTTCTAACACTTTACTGCTTATGGGCTCAAAGGCCCTGGAGTATCGCTGAATACAAAGTGGGCAGCAATGGGCAGGTTGGGGTAGGCTCAACAAACAGAGAATGTGGAAGAGGCACTGGGCAGAACCATGGCTATCAGGTCTGGGTAGGAGGAGTTTGGGGGTACCAATAAACCCCCACTGTATACTCTGCAGAATGGCAGAAAGAACCCCCTTGTACTGGCCTCTGTGGATCCTGTCATTAGAAGTTCCTAATTATTGCTATCAGGTAATGCCAGACTTCTCTCCCAGCCCTTCCAAAAGAGTGGGGAGTGTCCTGGGCTGAGTGAGAGAGTAGCTGTCCCACCACTGACATCAGACAGTGCAAGTGCTGCTTTCTTTACTGAAAATCCATCTTGGTATGCAAGGCTCAGCAGCTATCGAAAAAGACTTCAAGAATCTGACTTCCACATTCCAGAGATTTTGGAACTCTTACCTATCATTAGAGTCATTTGGAAAAATACCTTCTCCTAGTGAGAAAAAAGTCACCTGAATTTCTAATTTGTATTGAGAAAACTTGAGCTCCATTATTTAATCTCCTTCATGGAAACATGGCTTACTTTCCTTTTTTTTTCTTTTAAAGATTTTATTTATCTATTTGACGGAAAGAGAGAGCACAGGCAGGGGAGCGGGAGGCAGAGGGAAAAGCAGTCTCCCTCGTGAGTGGAGAGCCTGATGCAGGACTCGATCCCAGGACCCCAGGATCATGACCTGAGCTGAAAGCAGATGCTTAACCAACTAAGCCACCCAGGGGCCCTGAAACATGGCTTACTTTCAAAGCTCAGGTGTTCTGATGTCCTGAAAACCAAACACAACCACTGAGATTTCCCCAAAAACTTTAGAAAGAGGGGAATTTCACTCATTTTCTGCCAAACTGTCCATATTTGAGGAACGAGAAGCCCACAGCAAAAATTACCAGAGTGATCTGACAAGGCCTGTCCGGGGTGTCTAAAGGAGTCCTGGCATTCCCGCCTGGCTCGTGACTCTCTCGGTCTGCTAATGACTGCATAATGAATGTTTAAGGGGAATTATCCTAATTATAGTTTCAGGCTATCACCTCTTTATGGAGAAACCAACCAACCAATCTTCTCTAAATTAGCCATTAAAGACCACTTATTATCCTGAAAAACCATAATAACGTATTCACAATCTGACAATGGACATTTCAAAACAGGGACAAAATCTAAAATTCTTGGCAGTGCTATCACAGAATGGAAATGAGATGTGGCTGAACAATTGTTAATTTTAATGACTATCAAACTGACATGACTAGTGAAGGATTCCTTGAGGAAAGAGGAGATACTCTCCCGTCACAGTCCCTACTCATCCAGTTCAACCACCAAGGGGTCACTGGAGGATTAATGACTGTCACATTGTCTTCCATGCCCACTGCATGCAAGAGTTCACTATGGGCTTTCACACATACTACTTAAGTGGTGTCTGCATCTGGCTACCAAAACCATGGGGGGGATTTAAAAGATTCAGAGATTCCTGGGGTGCCTGGGTGGCTCAGTCCATTAAGCATCTGCGTTCGGCTCAGGTCATGATCCCAGGGTCCTGGGATCGAGTCCTACACTGGGCTCCCTGCTCAGTGGGGAGCCTGCTTCTCCCTCTACCTCCACCTGCCGCTCCCCCTGCCTGTGTTCTCTCTGTCAAATAAATAAATAAAATTAAAAAAAAAATCCAGAGATTCCTTGGCTCAAGTCCACAGAGATTTCAATTGATTAGGTCTGGGGTAGGGCCCAAGAATGTGCTCCCCATGATTCCAAAGGAGCCACTCCGAACACCAGCCCTTGGGAATCCCTTCATTATTTCACTTTGGACTTTGTTCCCCATGAGTACTCTAGGAGGTAAACAGGGGAGGTAAATACCTATTTCCATTTTGTAAGTGAAGGAACCAATGATACCTTCTCCATCACCATTATTTTTCCCTGTGTAAAACCAGAAGACAGGGTGAGAGTGGCTTCCAAAGTAATGAATGAATAACCAAGAATGAATACCACGTAGGACAGAGGATAGGATGTGTGTACGCTGATCGAAACCCTCAGGAAAAGAGGACGGTCTTTGGTATCTGCTTTGACTGACTGCTCCTTAGAGAAAAGCACCTAGGACCACGTCTGAGGGAAACCGAGGAGGAACCGGGGTCAAGGGACAAAGGTGAGCATCTGGGAGCCCAGGCCTACCTTGCTCATGGCCTCTGCAATGGCGTCCACCATGCCTCCCACCAGCCCCACTTCACTGGCGGCTTCATTCAGTGTCACCATGATGTCATCGACGGCCTCCTTCATGAGCTGGGCGGCCTCTGTGATGGCATCATGGGTGTGCTGGGCCTGAGAAGGGAAAGCAGAAAGAGGACTGTGAGAAGTTTCCATAAGCAGAGGAAAATGGTGCTCAGTCTCCTCAGAAATCACTTCACTTCTTTTAGGTATAACCTTAAAAAAACACAACACAAAACTCTATCCCCATTATGGAGCACGACAGGGATTCTGGATTTTCCCTTTTCTTTCTGTTGGTACATTTGTTTGCAAAATCACTACAAATCAGAAAGAGAAGTAGAAGATGTCTTTTTATAATCAAAAGGAAAAACAAAATTGCAATATCAAACAGCATCCTATGACAGGACCAGTTTTATGTTAATCTGTCCAGGATGGTAGAAAGAGAATGCCACTGATTCCCAATGACGCAAGCTTATAGGTATAATTAAGAAAAAACCAAAACCTAATATAAGGGAAAAAACATGTCCACAACAAATGCACTTCTCTTCAAAGCTGCACAACACTCTAGAATTCCCTTCCTGCAAATAAGGTTGGATTGTGGCAATGTAGTGACATAGAGGAGAAATACATCTGTGGAAAGACAAAGAGCCTTTGGAATTATGTCACAGATTACACTGCCACGAGCCTGGAGGGACGAGGGAGCAAAGTTCTCCAGGGACTGACATTCTGCAGGCAAAGTCTCGAGTGCTCCCAAGTTCCCTCTGACTGTAACTCGGAGACACTCCAACACCTGCCAGAGTTTCGCAAGCGCATCATGCACCGAGGAGACACCAGGTAAATGAATGGATGAAAGATGAAACAACGGTGGTTCCAGGCTCCTGAAAAACACCTCCAATGGGAGACAGATGCAGAAGGAGCCTAGGTCCTGCCATCATAAAAACTGGGTTCTAGCTCTGGATCCACCTCTTACTAACTAAGCGGTCCTAGGCGTGGCTTCCTCAGCACAATGGGAATAATTGGAACAACACTATGCAGAATTCCAATGAGACGATATGGATACCTGCAGCATATACTTATAGTAAGGGCAGTCTAGGGGTGCCTGGGTGGCTCCGTCGGTTAAGTGTCTGCTTTTGGCTCAGGTCATGATCTCAGGGTCTTGGGATTGAGCCCCACGTTGGGCTCCCTGCTCAGTGGGGGAGCCTGCTTCTCTCTCTGCCTCTGTTCCTCCCCATGCTCGTGCACATACTTTCTCTCTCAAATAAATAAATAAATAAATAAAATCTTGGGGGTGGGGTGCGGAAAAAGGAACAGCCTAGTAGCAGGTGCCTGACTTCATGTCAGGTAGTCAGCATCAGAATTGGCCCCCCACACAGTGGCCACGGCTGCCCTGACATACCTCACGGGGAGACGCCCCTTCCAAAGGCCCAAGAAACTGCACCTTCCCTCTGGTGATGAGAAGCTAAGGAGGCCAGGGAGGGAAGGGAAATGTAACTCTTTTGACTGGCTAACTGAAAGAGAGGACTTCTTTTTTTTTTTTTTTTTTTTTAATTAAAAAAAATTTTTTTTTTAAAGATTTTATTTATTTATTTGACAGAGATAGATCACAAGTAGGAAGAGAGGCAGGCAGAGAGAGAAAGAGGGAAGCAGGCTCCCTGCTGAGCAGAGAGCCCGATGCGGGACTTGATCCCAGGAAACCTGAGATCATGACCTGAGCCGAAGGCAGCGGCTTAACCCACTGAGCCACCCAGGCGCCCCTAAAAAAAATTTTTATAAACATATAATATATTATTAGCCCCAGGGGTACAGGTCTGTGAATCGTCAGGCTTACACACTTCACAGCACTCACCATAGCACATACCCTCCCCAATGTCCATAACCCCACCACCCTCTTTCTACCCCCCTCCTCCCGGCAACCCTCAGTTTGTTTTGTGAGATTAAGAGTTTCTTATGGTTTGTCTCCCTCCTGATCCCAAGTTGTTTCATTTATTGAAAGAGAGGACTTCTAAGAAGAGGCTGTGTGAGCCACAGGAACTGGCTCGGTGTGTGGAACAGAAAAGCCAAAGGAATCCAGGTCTTCTAAAATGACACATGACAAGATGTGAAGTATGTGGACCATGGATGGTCACATCAAGACACCAACAAGGTGTTGGGATGCAAATGCTAATTATTGACCATTAGGGCAAAAATTAACTCAGAAGTTAACAGGGACAAAGAGCCTTGAGGAACAAAGATCCCTTGACTCTTCCCACCTCAGATAGGGAGTCGCTCTTAGGACTTCTTCCCTCCACCCGCTTCCTTGGCAGCCTCCTCATGGCTCCATCCTCTCTCTCCCCCTCCTCCAATAGCCTGTAGCAGCTGGTTCTATTGTGTTCGCCTCCTCCCTTTGCCCCATGCAAATCCTAGCCCTCTTTCAAGGCCCAGCCTAAATACCGCCTCCTCCAGCAGCCCTCCTTGGATGGCTCTCTCCTCATGCTCTCACTGGCTTTCCTTTGGATTTCTGCAGCCCTGAGAAGCAACTCTGGAGTCAGAGAGGTGAAGGCCTTAGAAAAAAGGATATGGGGAATTGAGGCTCAATACTGTAACACGACACAGCTTCTGCTCAGCTCTCTCTCTCAGGACATGGGCCTGTGAAGGCCTCGGCCTCTGTGAAAGGAGGCTGTGTGCTGGGCAGACTGCACGGTGAGACTGCACAGAGGTACAAAGGGCAGCCCATGGAGCCCCAGCCCCTGAGCATCTCCGTGATTTCAGCTCAAGCACCAGACCTCGGAGCAACGGGCCCTCAGGTCACTCAAGCCCCAGCCGCCACCTGGTGGCAGTGGGAGGAGGTACTCTGAGTGAGAACCAGCTCGCTGAGCTCCGTGGACCTGCAGACCCACCAGAGATCACTCTCAGACGGTACTTTTTTAAGTCACTAAGTTTTAGAACGGCTTGTTTGCAGCAACAGCTAGCTGCGACAGCCCCTGAGAAGGCCCCGAAGCCAGCTTTGGAGTTAGAGAGGTGTCTGGGTTGAAGCAGAGACCAGTATCCAGCAGAGTTGATGGGGTGAGGAGGAAAGGGAGAGCACGCTGGGTGGAGGACACAGGCTGTACAAAGGTCCGGGGGCAGGAAGGATATGGACTGTGAAGAGGAGCCGACCAGTGCACTGTATGGGAAGTGTCTGGCACGGTGTGTGCCACACGGCTCCTGCCCCCCTTCCCTCACCTCTCCATCAACCCAGCACCCACCCCAACTAGACTGTGTGCTCCTTGCCAACAGCTGGCTCTCCTCCCCTCTAGAAGCACAGTGTTCATAGGAAATAAAGGGTTTGATCAAGTCACTGTGGGGAGGTGGGGCAAAGGTAAAGGGTGAGACATTCATTTTTATTTTCACAGGTTTTTTTTTTTTTTTTTTTCTTCTTTTTTACAAAGATAACCTTCACAGGGTGTTGGTGCAAATTTCTCCTCTGGAGAGGCTTGTTTAGAAATAAATGGAACAATCTGTTTCTGTGCTGCCAACCAGGCATGGATGGCAGAGCTGAGGCAGAGACGGGCTCCTGGGCAGTCAGAACAGGCCCTGGCCCTCCCTCCCTGCCCTCGAGCCCAGCCTGAGGGCCCAATGTGACTTTCAAACCAGCGGCAAAATCTCTGTTCTTGTATCTCCGGTCAGGTATTTTAGCATCTGACAGGCACTGGGAACAACAGCAAATACCAAAGCCTGGAACAGCAGGAAGAGCGGCCCGCTGCCACCACTCCTCAGGGACTTCTTGGTGCCAGGGACTGTGCTCATCCCCACTGTGCGTGTCCTGTTCACCCTCACAACCCACCGCAAGGTGAGAGTTGGACAACATCCCCGCCAGGGACCCCTCCGACGGTCGCCATCGGAAAATGGAAGCTTCAGCAGGAAAGCTTATGGATCTGGTGGCCAACCAAGGCCACCGACCGGCTGGCCATCTGCTGAAAGGATGCCACTGGTCAAAAGGAAGCTGAGCAGATGGCCAGATCAGGTCAAGTTTCTCAGCGCTACTGGAAAAACAAACCTTAATCTAGGGAATATGCCATCTAGTTTTAGCCTCTCCCTGCAAACAGGGTGCTTTTAAACAAGGGGACGGCCCCCAAATACCACGTGGCAAAGGCAAGGGGCCTCAGGATTTGCTACCTCTCCCAGAGTTGGCCGGGCCGCTCTTACTCAGCACTTGCCACCCGATGAGCCCAACCCTGGGACCTCAGCCAGTGGGAAATGGTCAAACATTTGGCTGATTTTTGTTCTAGGCGCTTAGGAGGGAGCCTTCAAGTGCTTAGCATTTCCTGAGTGGTCAAGGACTGCCTCTGTGCTTCACAGTGGGCCCCCAGGACCACACATTAGTTTAGGCTAAGAAGGGGACTCAGGGTGGCCTGTAGGCAGTTTCAGGATGGGGGCTGGCCATGCTGGGGAGCCCAACCATGCGATTAGAGGGTTGTGGCTTTGAGCAACAGAGTATCAGCCTGACCTTGGGGGACAGGAGAAGGCTGCAGACTGAATCACTGGTCATCTGACTAGATTCATTCGATCCACCCTACAGGAAGAAATCCCAATAGAACTCTGGGCAGCAGAGCTGGAGTGAGCTTCCCGGGTTGGTGAGGGACAGCACTAAGCTGAGAGCGTGACTCATCCTTGGGACATGTTTAAGATGCCCCCAGACCTCACCTTCTGCATGGTTTGTAGCCTTTATAATAAAATGGTAATAGTAAGTAGAGCAATTTCCTGAGTCCTGTGAGTCATTCTAGCAAATTATTAAACCTGAAGGGGTAGAGAGGACCCCTGGAATTTGGAGCTACCTGGTCAGAGTGAGGATGGCCTGGGAACCTGGGATCTTATGGCTGGTACCTGAACTTGGGTTGTGCCTGGGAAATCTGGGAAAATCTGACCTGACACCAGGTAGTCACTGTCAGAATCACACTGGTTCAGGTGCTGCTCCCCACCCCCAACCCCGCCACGCAGTGGCTTTGAAAGGGAGACGCCCCTTCCAAAGGCACAAGAAATTGCCCCTTCCCTCTGATGGATGAGAAGGTTAGGAGGCCAGGGAGGGAAGGTAAATGTAACTCTTTTGACTGGCTAACTGAAAGAGAGGACTTGTAAGAGGAGGCTGTGTGAGCCCCAGGAACTGGCTCGGTGTGCGGAACGGAAAAGCCGAGGGAATCCAGAAGACATCTTCCACAGGGCCTCTGACGAGCTATGCCTCTGTCAGACCGCGGATGGTTGTCTTGAGTATGTCAGGCTGCACAGAGCTCTCTCTTAGGGATGTGAGAGAGGGAAACTGGTAATTTAGGTTGATGGCTGACTTCATGGTATAGAGAAGGTAAAACACAAAATGTGCAGATTGCTCGCTTTTGATGACAGAAGTCTGAAAGGTGACATTTTCTGCACGTGACCCTCTCAAGAGAGCACCTCATACAAATATGGATGAAAACAGTAAAACTGAAAGGTATGTATTTCTCTAAAACGCACTTGAAATCAGATCATCACGGGTGGCACGAAAATGTCAGGAATGCTGTAACATTCACGTTCAAGCAGAGGGCACGTTTCTGGGCAGAAGCCGAGTGCATGTTTCTGAGCACTGCTGGCCACGTGTCTGCTATCCCCCATCGCCTGAGGAAGGGACAAGAGGCAGGTTGTGGGGGCGGTGACAGTGAGTCACAAGACTGCTCTCCGAACTCCCTGGAAAATGTGAAGGACACTTTCTCCACACTGGGGCATCTAACCCTACGAAAACACATCCTTGCCCTTGGCTGTCCCAGAAACAATTACCTTCCCATCTGCTCCTGTGAGGAGTTCTCTAGGCCCGCTCCCCTTCGCTCCGCATATTTGAGTCACAGACCCTTAATGGGTCAGCTGAGAGGCTGTGAAGCCTCCTCCAATTACTCCGAGCCTCTCCCAGGGCCGCTTCCTCCAGCTCCAAGGGCAAACCTCACCTCTACCACACAGCCGCGTCCAAATCACACATGCCGGCCACCTGGCACACGGGTTCAGACACCCAAAGACCCAGTAGGTGCTCAATTAAGGCATCCTTAAAAGCCCATCAGCAGTCTGGGAAGTGGACTCAGAGGGCTCAACAATGAGGTCATTATTTTAGATTCTGGAGGGGCTCTTTGTTAAGGCTCCTCATGGCACAACACAGGAGAAAAATCAGACTCGTTTCTTTTTTGGAAACATGTCTGAAGTCTACTTCCAAGGGAGCCTTATTTCTGTATTCTAGTGCTTCAACTACAAAGGCCAGTAAAGCAGGCAGAGACATCACAGGAATCTGGAAAATGGGAGAAGGCCACGGGGGGTTGGGGTACACAAGTCAACGTTAGCAGAAGGGGAAAAAAAACCCAACTGATCATTAGAACTGCCCAGCAGTGCACAGGGCTGGGTGTCTCCTGCAGAAGAGGCAGGAAGGGCCCTTCAAGGAGGATGTTGGGAGGAGCTGGGTGGGGTAGAAGGGAGTGTGGAAGGGGGCTCCGTGGGGTGAGGGTGAGGCTACCCAGCAAATGCCTCGTGATCCCAGGATTCATTAACACCGGACTCTGGGGCTGCTTCTTTTCTTTTCTTTTTTTTTTTCTTTCCTTCCTCCCTCCCTCCCTCCTCCCCACCACCTTTCTTTAATACCTACTGTGTCAGGCACATTATCTCAGTCAATCTCTATAACAGTCCCTGAGAGGTATTCATTATTAACCCCACTGTTTAGGGGGGGGAAGCAAAGAAATGAAGTAATTTGCTAGCAAGAGGCAGAACTGGGATTTGAATCCAATTATGTTGGACTCCAAAGCTTATTCTCTTTTACACCACATCAGAACCACTGATGATCATTTAACTGCATTTCCTCTGCAAACAGTGACACACAACATCTTAACACACATACACACATCCCCTAAGACCTAGCAGGTAACACCTAGGAAATATTTGCCCAAAGAATAGCACCCAAGGCGATTATGTCTCTGCATTAAGCCTCCTAAGAAAGGACCTCAAACCCAGCTTGTAGTGTTCTAGGGAGCCTGTCGGGGTCTGCAGACAGAGAACAGGCTGAATGCAGGATGCCAGGGAGGGGAAAAGACACATACACCTGTCCTGCCTTCACCATGATGTCTCAGCCTGTCCCCAGTGCTTCAGCTCAAACACTGAAAACTGTCCCACTCTCGCATCCAGCCACCATTCCCAAGCAGAAGATGTCCTGTAAAGCTTACAGTGCTGACTACACATGCTCCTGACTCTGAATTTCTTGGTATAAAACAGAATTCCACAGGGAGCTCTGAACTTGCAGTCTAAGCAGATATGCTAATATCTTATACACCCAGAAAAGTCCTAATTGGAATTACTCTGCTGGGAATGAAATTCTCTCAGGTCAGGGTTGGAGCCACGTGGCAGTCAGCCCTGGAGAAAAGATAACCCAGAACTGGGTCTGGAAGGCGAGTCCTACCCCCCTCCACCTCCCGTGGGGCAGGTGCAAGGGGGGCGGGGCCAACTCAGGGGCACCTATCACTCAGCTATCAGGCAGAAGGGCATTCTTGTTCTTCTTGTGCAACCTCACCATTTTGGCAACAAGCCTCCTTTCTTTCCTGAAGACTGAGAACAACTTGAGGGTGCTGGCTGGCTCTAGTATTTTTAGCAGTCCAAGAATTAGGCTCTTAGTAGTTGCCAGATACATGACTGGAAAAACTGAACACAGAAAACCCAAGTCTAAGACATTATTTGCGCTGCTACCAGAGCGGTGTTTCTCAACTCAGGATGGGTTCTAAGTCCTCACTTACACTTTACGATAAAGCCCAAAGGTCTTACAGTGGGGGAGGGGAGAGTGGTCATGACAGAGCCAAGTCTATCTTCCCTGCTGGTCATCCCCACTCTCTATATGTTCCATGGACATCAGACTGCACACTACTGTCCAAAGACACCACAATCCTTTTATAACCCTATACACACCTTTGTATGTGCTGTTCCTCCTTGCTAGCATGCCTCAAGCCACCCTTGTGTGCCAAATACTTTCTTTTTGTGAGACCGACTAGCCACATGTGGCCTCTTGCCTGCAGCTTTGCTTGACCTCTCTCCAGCCCTTGCTGTGGGCAGTCGGCTTCTGATTCCAGAGGGTGTAGGCTCAGTCCTGACTCCACATCCACTTCTCCTGTGATGCAGGATGACTTACCTAAGCAGTCTCAGTTCCCACATCTGTACAATGGGAACCTGCATACACCATGGGATTTTTACGAAGATTAAATATCAAGAGGATATAGGGTAGAAGAGATGACATAGAACCAGTACTCAGTCAGTAACTGTGAGCTCCAAGGTTACTATTTTGTGATTCTGACTCTTACTCTAGAATCTTCTCTGCTGTACCATGTTACTGATGTGAAGATCTTAGAGCTGCAACAAAGCACACTAAAAATAATATGCACATCATAGGGATTCCTATAGCTTGTAGGCAAGTATCCCACACAAATCATTCCAACCCGTGTTCCCACGGGCTGCTGAGGTGAGGACCCAGGAAGCTCAGATTGACTACATGGAGGCACCTGCTGGAAGGTACAAATAGCAGGAGGAGCCTCCAACCTCCTCTCAAGGTACCAGAACCCTGGGGGAATTTATGGCACAAGATGGTTTCACAAGTAAAACCATCACTCAGACACAGATATCATCCCTGAGAGCAGATGGCATGCCGTCACCATCTTCAGCCACTTCAAGAAGCTGGGTGACAAGACACATCAGGCTGAGGAAATGTCCCAGGTGGAACTAGTAAGGGAGATTTTCATAGGCAACTGCTGATCCAAGACAAGAGAAACACATGCCATGGGTGACCTTGTCCTACGTTTTGCATTGAACTTGAGTCTCAGGAATGGAAACGATATTCTCTGGAAGACAACTGAGCTTTGCTTTGCCCAAGTTGGGTGTCAACACTGAGCAGGTGCCTGGCAGGTATTAATTTTTATCCCTGAAATAACCACCCAATGTTTTTCTTTCCCAAGGATGCTTGCCTACGTATTCTGTCATGGGGAAAAAAAAATCACTTAACAAAAAGGCTTAATTAGGTATACTTCTTGACGTTCCTCTTCAAGGTTCCCCGGAAGGCCAATCAAAGATTATTTCCCACCTTTGAGTGGGAAGTCACATACTATCAACCAAGAACTGGAGGTATTGTCCTTGGAGGGACTCAATACCGAGGAATATCTGAGAGCTTCTCAGCAGCCCTAGGTGGGTCCCAGGATCCTGAACCGTACCTTGGGGTTTCCTCCACCTTCCTTGGCTGCATACAACATCTGCAGGGCAGACTCTGCGAGCGTCTTGGTCTGGTCCAGCACCGTCATCTGCTGCTGATGGTCCAGAATCTTGGAGGCGACACCAACTGCAGCTAAGATCAGGGGCTCGAAGTAGCTGGCCAGCTGTGTCACCTTTCAAGACAAAAAACCACAGATGCATCATGTAAATCCATGTATCTCCTTTAGGGGCCCCACTCGTGGGGAGCGGGGGTCTGAGACAGGGATGGGATGATGACGGGGCGAGGTAGACGTGCTGAAACTTACTTTGGTTTTTTTTTCTATTATTAAATGCACTGTCAGGAGTTAGAGCCCTCATGTTATACATGAGCCCCTCAGACCTTACTCATTGTTCAGTTTTACTTTTAAAAGTACCTGCTCATTAACGAACTCTCACTTGCATTTTACGTCCTCTGGGGAGCTCTTTGTCTCGTCTCTCATCAGGCAGAAGTGTTAAGAAATCTGCTCTGTGATCCAGAGTTGGGTGTGAGAATTTTACAAATTTTGATTGCATCAACAGCAAAGCTTTCTAAAGAGCCAAAGATGAGCATCTTAGGGATGCAGAAGGAAGGGGAGCGGGGAGGGGAAGGGGAGTGGGAGGGGAAGGGGAACGGGGCCACGAAGAGAAGCAGCCTGAGCGCTAAGGCTTTCGAGAAGTCAGTCCAACTGCCCTCTACCTTGAGCATGTTGACCTAATGTGGATTTGCAATAAAAGCAAACATGATCTCGCATCGGTCTCAATGTTCTGTTCATGGTTAGTCCAGCCTGGGAGAAGAGAAAAGCCTCTCCAGCTGGTTAACCACTGTTCTCATCTAGGCCTCCCCAGGAGGTGATGCCACGGTGCCTCTGTGCTCAGGAGAACCCACCGGCCGGGCAGGGTCACATGTCACAGACATGTCTTGGGCATATCCCACACTCCAGGCTTTCTGCTAGAGGCTGACCATGCTTCATCTGTTCCCCAGAGCAATTCTACGAGGTATATACAAACGAAGAAACCGAGGCTTAGGTGGATGAAGTAAATTCTCTACCCCACGCAGCCACGATGTGGAGCCATGACAGGAAACAGGTGTCCTAGTCCACAGCCCAGGCTCCCCGCCTTCCGTTCCACGGCTTGCTACTTCTCTTTTTCAGCCCAGCTCCGCTAGGGCTGTGATATTAGATTTTAGAAGCTCATTGTTTGTTATTTGTTTGTGGTTCCACGAAGTATTTAAAATAAAGTCCGAGCATACTACAGTAATACCCATCTACCCAACATCTAGAACATCAGCTTTTTTAACATTTGCTGGATCTGCTTGAGACACTACCATCAGTCTCGCTCAGATAAAACACCATGACCCTGATCACGCTTTTCCATTCTGCTCCCCACAGTGTGTGCCAATTACTAATCGCTAAATTATTTCCATCAAGGGTATTTAAGTTCAAGCCTCTAGCCAGCCATTTCCCTTAATGCTTCTTCCCATGGTGCAGAGGAGGAACGGACGTGATGGGGCCGGAAGTGGGCAGGAAGGCCACTTGGCATGAGTGGTGCGGTCGCTGAGTCAGAAATGAAGCAGGGGACGGGGGTTTGTGGGGCTGGTGGTGGCTGGGACAAGGTGGGAGTCCAAAATATGAAAGTTCCTTAGGGCTAACAATGAGGCAGACCATCAGCCAGCAATCAACATACATTTACTCTTTTGTCCTCGGTTATAGTTCCTTACAGGTGGTTTCAAAGCACTTGAATAGGGCTATTGGTGGCCTTTATGGTGCTTGGTACAAATTTTAAAGGGCCTGCCTATCCTTGGGGCAGACATGATTGATACCGAAGCACATGACTTGCTGGATGTTGGCCCCAGTCTCTGTTTTGGCCAAACACCTTTGTGTAAGACCCAGTTTGCACAACTCCAGGTGTCGGCCCGGCACATTTGCCTGGTTTCATCCTCTTCCCCTAGAAGGGCCCTAGTATCGCCATCAAAGGGAACCACAGTGCACTGATGGGTCATCAGGCGTCAGGGCTCAGGACGGGTCACGTGTTAAAGGAGTTAAGATGTCTAATGCCTTAGAATCTTACATATTTTCTAGATTCATTTTCTCCCCCAAAGATTTAAATAATTAACTCTATAGAAAGAGAGTGCACACAAGTGGAGGGGAAGGAGGAGAGAGAGAATCTCAAAGAGACTGTGCGCTGAGCACAGAGCCTGACGTAGGGCTCAACCTCATGACCCTGGGACCATGACCTGAACTGAAATTAAGAGCCACCCAGGTGCCCCCTAGGTTAACTTGTTTAGTTTTAGAAGTACATGTCATCAATGCAACTGTACAATGTCGAGGGCTGCTGTGTGCTGAGACTAATTAAACACAACCCAGCTGCGGGTGGAGGCACCATGGCCGGGTGCTGGTGAGAGAAAGCTCCAGGGTCAGGGCCACTGGATCTGGATCCTGTGGGTCAATTCCTTAATGAGAAAGCTTCGGCAATCTGCTTCCTGTTATCCGAGTTCTGTTTCCTTCTCCATACAATGGAGATTAATAATAGCACTAAGCTCCATCAGATTGTTAGAAGGATTAAATGAGCATATATTAAAGTACTTAGCACAATGCCTGCCATGTAGTAGGCACTCAGTAAGTGCTAGGTGTCACTATTCTTCATGGACTGTGGGCGGAAGTTTTGAAAGGATGTTCTTTTTCCTGTACTTCGGGAGCTCAGAAAAAATTGTAACAATTTCCATTTTCGAGACATGACAGAATAGGAACTAGCTTTCCTGGGTTAGTAAAGAAGTTGAAAGAACACAGAATTTTGAGTAGTTGGTACATGATGCTGTTTCACCAGGCCTAGGGTGGCAGAAAGGGTTGAGTGGTGGCCCCCAAAAGGTATGTCTGTGTCCAAATCCCTGGCACCTGTGAGTATGCTCTTACTGGGAAAGAAAGGTCTTTGCAGATGTATTTAACATCTCTAAATGATCATCTTGGATTACTTGGGTGGGTCCTACATCTGTTAAGAAGTATTCTAATCAGAGACAAACAGAAGAGCACAAGACGTGGCCACAGAGGCAGATGCTGGCACGATACAATGAAAGAACACTCAGAGGCACCAGAAGCTAGAAAAGCAAAGAACAGATTCTCCCATAGAGCCTCCAGAAACAGTCCGGCCCTGCCGACACCTTGATTTTAGACTTCTGTGAGAGATCAAGTTTCTGTTGGTTTAAGCCCACCCACTTTGTAGTATTTGTTATAGCAGCTCTAGGCAACTAATACCTGTGGTCTGAGAATTTGCAAGTATCACCCAAGTGATCTGAAGCCGACCTAGGACCGCACCCGAGTGTTGTCATGAAGAACTGGAACCAGGCTGGGATCAATTCCCTGTCCAGGACTCTCCTGGAGAGGGCCAGAGGCCTCCTTCATCCAGAACTCTCTTTCAGAAAGTGAGACAAGTTTAGCCAAAGGGCCAAGAATAAGTTTGCAATTCAAGTGAAACAAATATATTATTGTTCTTTTGACACCACCCTCTGACATAGGAATTAATCTTCCATGCTAATACCATATGGACAGGGACAAGGATCATTGCCCTAGAAATCTAGATATGGTTTCTTACAAAATTCCTACTGGAATCAAAAGTAACGGATGAAATGAAGTCTGGCTACTCTGTAAGGCTCAGTTCCCTGCAGCAGGCACGTGGGCAGCACTCCAGCCCACCGGCTGGTGGAGCCCTAGCCCCCAGGCCAGCCCCTCAACCCTCCAAACCACCTCACGCAGGCAGACAAGCCGTTTTCTCACTAAAAAGCAACTCAGCCAAGAAATGAAATTTGCCACACTTTGCCACATTGTAAATCTCAAAAACCTCTCCTTAGGACCAGCAGGAAGCGTAGCAGGCCCTTCAGATGTTCCACAATGTGAAGAAGCAAGAAAGCTGATTTTCTAAAATCAATACCTGCTGAAAAGATTTTGGCTACTGGGTCTTCTGGATATGCCCATTGATACTGATGTCCGCACTGATAAATGTTAGGAAACCCTGGAGGCTGTTAGAAATCCAATTTTTGCCCTCTCTCTGCTGAGGCACAGGCTGCTGGACAAGGCAAGGACCCTTGAAGGATTTGCTAAATGAACCCCAAACAGACAAAACATTAGTCAGTACTTGGCCGATGTGGGTATGAGCTCTCAGTGGAGGGGCTCCTCTGGAGTGGGCCAGAGCAAAGTTTCCAAGTTTGCTCTGCTCCCTCGCATGTGCAAACGGGCACTATTAGAAGCCATGGAAGAAAAATATACCCCTAAACACATGCGAGAATGAGGCCGGCCAGCCAGGGACAAAAGACAGCAGATGGCAGACTAGCAATGTCAACGTTTGTCTCTGGCTCATCTAGTAAAGGTCAAGAGCCTGTAAATGTGTTGTTGGCTGGGAAGTCTGGCCATTGCCCAAAAGCTGTCACTCCAGTTTCTGTTTGGACTCTAGGTGAAAGGAGATACTGAGGTGGTCAGTGACCAAGCCCACGCCCCGCACCCCCTCATCACTCACGCACACCCTCAGCAGGGTGTCCTCCCAGGGGACATTACCTTATGTCCCAGCTGAGCTGCTTCTCCCCGCGCCGCTGTGGCGATGGGATCGATGAGGTGCCCGATTTCTTGGACCACGGAAGTTAGCTGCTCCTGCAGGGCCTGATAAGGAGAGAGAGCTGTCAAATTCACCCTACCGCAATTCACCATGTAGACTTAATGGTTTAAAAATAAAAAGGACCATGAGAAGGACAAAGGGGGGGCATGCAAAATGGGTACCAAGACATCCATTGTATCTATAATAGAGAAAATCTCTCTTGCGTGAACCACGTAGCCACCATTCCACCTCGCCCTTCCCAGGGACCCTCAGCTCCCCTGGGCTAGAGCCCCCACACTTCCTGTGAATGACACAAGGCAGGCCCAAAGAAAACTCTTCCTACTGGCTCCTCACTCACACCAAACACAGTATTATGTGATGCTGCTGGTATTCTTACTTGGAGTTATTTCAAGTAACTACTGGAAATAAGGAACATTTCCCTTCCAAGAAGGGAAGATAACTTTGTTTGAATGGGGAGAGCGAACGTCTGGGGGAACATCCAGGTGGCTGTGTCCTCAGAACTAAGAACCCCTTGAGGGAGGAGAAGAGAGAGGGGAGGGGAGGGGAGAAAAGGGTCATAGGGTAATGAGATCAGCTCTCTGAAAGCAGGACCATTTCCCAGACAGCATACTGGCAATGCCAGGTGAGTTACCCTGAGCTCAGCTCAGGTTCTAAGAGCACTGTATTTGGTGATGTGGGTGCAAACATCAAAAATCGCACCCCCAAGCTATTTCTTCTCAGGTTTGAGAGAACAGAACAGAACTCGTGCCGTGGAGAGATGAGGCCAAGCATCGGATGATGCTGGAATATGAAGGAGATGGGGCATTCCCGGGTGCACATTAGCAGCTGGGAGCAGGACAGATGAGATCCTTTGTAGGACTCTTCCTAGGAAATCTGCTTGATGGGTTCAGGGTTAACAGATCACAACACTGGACATTTTAGGTCCTCCCATGCCAGCAAGGAACGGGGTAATTTCTGACAAAGCGACAATGCTCTGTTTGTCAGAAATCAGACTCCCGCCTGTGCTGTGCTGCTTTCCCTTTGAACAATGCTGCATACAGGCTGGCGGCTCCGGGCAGAGGTTAGGTAATGAGGAGAGCAATCTAACCTGCCACATGGAAAACAAAGACCTAGGGATACAAAGGAAAAAGAGAGACAGAGATAGAAAGATGGAGGAAGGTGGAGAGAAACATCCAAACTTCTAAGGATCTTACTTAGTTCACTATCATCTTTCTGCTTGTCGTGGGATTATAGTCAAGAATGCAAGAATAGGGGCGCCTGGGGGGCTCAGTCAGTTAAGCGTCTGCCTTCGGCTTATGTCATGAACCCGGGGTCCTGGGATCAAGCACCACATTGGGCTCCCTGCTCAGCGGGGAGTCTGCTTCCCCCTCTCCCTCTGCTCCTCCTCCTGCTCTCTCAAAAAAACAAAAACAAAACAAAACAAAACCAAAAAAACTCCCCCAAACCCTAAAAACAATGTAAGAATATCTCAGCACCACTATCTTATTACAGACGGCTTATTAAAATAAATGTGGTTTAGTAGGGAGCGCGCACAGTTCAGGGAGGGCTTTTCTTCCTAGGGAGGAAGGGAAGACAGAGGATATGCTTTGGAATGGGTGGTGGAAGGGTGGGGGCCAGAGGGGGCAGTTCCGAGGTGCCGGTCACCTTTGTCTCTTAATCTGGGTGATAAGCAAAGGCTGTGCTCCCTTGGTAATAATTCATCAAGCCGGGCACTTCGGACAGGCGCACCGCTCTGCGTGCAGGGCCCTCCTTTAATAAAAGGGTGACAAAAACCCTAACAGTCTGCCAAGGAGGAGGATTTTTCGTCTTTCTTTTCTCGACAGTGGGAGAGAGGGGCCGAGCTGGAGTAAAATTGACAGCTCTATTAATAAAAATGAGCAAGACCATCTCTGGGCCCACTGCTTAGAGACAGCGGGCGAAGTTCACTGCTGATGAATTCAGGGGCGGTAGGGGACATGTCAGTAAACAGACCATCCATATTTATTAAGCACCTCCCGAGTGTCAGGCACTTCTGACAGAGGGAAGAAGTATGAGTCAAGGGCCTTTGGACAGGTTAATAGAAAAAATCGGCAAGAAAGGGCCATGGCTCTGAATTAAAAATAGAATGCAAAGGTTTTGCAACACTGGACACTGGGTAACTTAGGACAGAACCCTTTATCTCTGAATGGACCAGACGTGTAGAGTTTAATGCTAAATACGCCCCATGGTCAAAAAATGCACTGATAAAACGTGACAAGGAAACAGTCAACATTTACACGCCTTGCCCTGTTCTACCGATATGTGAAACTGAGCACGGTAACCACACTTTACTGACACACTCTCATCTGACGTTGATCATTCCCCCCCCCCCCAACTTTTAACCCTATTCGTCATTTCCACGCCAGCAGCCCATGTGTTCCTTCACCAAACCCTCATTCTCTACTCAGCCTGTGCCTTACTTCCACCAAAAACTTCCCAGGTGGGTTCCAGGAGAAGGTGCTTCAGTGACAAAATGCCAACATAAAAAATGCACTGCGGTCCCATTCCCCACCCCCTGAGGCCCAGTGCTGACGTCGTTGAGCATTTCCAGAGACCCCTGACCTGGCCACAGAGCTCTGGCCTACCTCCACAGAGATGTCATCCCTTGTGGCCAAGCTCTGGCTGACAGCTGCCAGCGAGGCCTGCTCAATGTCCCGGATGCAGCGGTTGATGCCATCGATGGAGTAGTCACACTCTCTCTGTCCAGGCGCCTTGTCCCTGGAAGGAACAGGGCAGCTCAAAGAGATTCCTCAGGGTTTCAGTCCCAAAGCTTGCCACAGCAGGGTGGGTTGGGGGCCCCTGTCTACTTTCTACCACGTTTGATTGCTACATTTCAGGGGTGGATCTCGGACCCTTGCTTGGGAACACCCCTCTGCAGAGCCCATGCATTTCTTCATTTTTTTTTTATAACATTTTTTAATTTATTTTTATTTTTATTTTTTTATAAACATATAATATATTTTTATCCCCAGGGGTACAGGTCTGTGAATCACCAGGTTTACACACTTCACAGCACTCACCATAGCACATACCCTCCCCAATGTCCATAACCCCACCCTCCCAACCCCTCTCCCCCCATCAACCCTCAGTTTGTTTTGTGAGATTAAGAGTCACTTATGGTTTGTCTCCCTCCCAATCCCATCTTGTTTCATTTACTCTTCTCCTACCCCCTTAACCCCCCATGTTGCAACTCCTCTCCCTCATATCAGGGAGATCATATGATAGTTGTCTTTCTCCGATTGACTTATTTCGCTAAGCATGATACCCTCTAGTTCCATCCACGTCGTCGCAAATGGCAAGATTTCATTTCTTTTGATGGCTGCAGAGTATTCCATTGTGTACATATACCACATCTTCTTTATCCATTCGTCTGTTGATGGACATCTAGGTTCTTTCCACAGTTTGGCTATTGTAGACATTGCTGCTATAAACATTCGGGTGCACGTGCCCCTTCGGATCACTACGTTTGTATCTTTAGGGTAAATACCCAGCAGTGCAATTGCTGGGTCATAGGGTAGTTCTATTTTCTACATTTTGAGGAACCTCCATGCTGTTTTCCAGAGTGGTTGCACCAGCTTGCATTCCCAGCATTTCTTCATTTAACACTCCTGTTAACTGTATTTCTCGTGGGATGGCTATGATGCTGTTCCTTATTTCTGGCTGATGATGGGCACCTGCTGATCAAGCTCTTTAGATGTCACTGGCTTAAGCATAGGACCCTTATTATTTTTATTTTTTAACAGGTCAGGACTATTTCCAGGGCAAACATACTATACTCTCCACATGGCATACTACTCACAAAGTCCTACAGTAGGAGTTCAGATATTTAGTGGATTTCCCTTTATAAGGCATTAGGTAAGAGACCAGGCTGCTGAGTCTCAAAAGCAATCAAAAAGCTAAGTACAGCTAAGGAAAAGAACGCATTCCATGCTGTGGGGTATTAACGCTGGTCAACTTCAGAGATGTAACACCAACCTGGGGATTTTTTAGGTTCATACCATCATCAAGGAGTTCAGCGATGCTCAAGAGATACTGTGGGACCTAGAATATTCTTTTTGCCTTATTAGCAAAATAAGGTAACTTCAAATCCTGCTAAATAAACAGTGGTGTTCCCTGCCTAAGCTCCTAGGTATAGACAGTGGAGTACAATGGTGAGGACTGGCATTAGGCCCATCGGGTTGGGGAATACCCATGGGAATACTCCCTAAGTCCTTTCTGCCTGAATTCTCTCATCAGTAAAATGGTGGCCATGGCACTGTTCACATCACAAGGTTGTTGTGATGAAGAAATAAGGTAACACAGTTTCTTACATAGAGTGTTTAAGTTAGCTACTGTTGTGCCAAAGAGCCAAACAAGAAGATGATAATAACGATCGGCTACCTTGCTGTTAAATCAAAGTCCTGTTGGGCTTATCTTCCTTCTGCCCTGTTCCGATGCAGGCACCTAGCAATTTCTGGAGGAGAAACTCACCTGATAGAAGTGATGAGACTCTTGATAGAGTCAGACACGGTGTGTGAGTGTCCAGCTAGCACAGACCAGGTGGGCGGGTCTTTGGGGTTGATGGCCAGGGAGCGCGCAGTGCGAATGAGGTACGACGAACTCTCCAGCATGGTCTTGGCTGAGACCAGGATTGGTTCCTGTGCCTGGGAGCCCTGGGAACAGACAGCATAAGGGGCAAGGGCGAAATGCTCAGATTAAGTGAATCAGTTGGGCTCTGGAAGTTCCTGTTCTTTATCCAATCACTCCCTGTGTTCTTCAGAAAGAGATTCAGGGTGAGGAAACCATGGAGGCTGGTTCACACAGAGCCTGGATAGCGAGCACTTGAGTCCACGTTCTCTCTTAAATATCATTTGTGAATATGGCACATACCAAGAAAGAATCAGCCCCAAACCTGGACACAGAGCTTGTTCTTAACACATAAAGCTAACACATTACCACTTAAGTGATGGGCATACCTTGAGTTTCATGAACTCTGTGCACATATCGTCATTGGCAACATAACACCCTATAAGACAGAGCCTTTGGAGTTCTTAACTGTTTGTGCTCATTTGGTGCCACACAGACTAGCCAAAGACCCCAATATTACCTTTGCTGCAAAGACTGCCTACCTCGGAGCTGATCTGGGCAGGAATGCTGACAAACTCAGGGTTGGAGGCGAAAGCTGTCAGGTTCTCCACAGCTTCGATCAAGGGTGCGGTGGCAATGCGACACTTATTGCGGTTGTCTTCGGAGAAATCCCCATCCAGGGCCTGGTGGGAGGAAACATGGAGACATGATCCATGCAGATGCACAAACCACTCCTGGCCACCATAAGAACGGTGGTTTTATGGGAAGAACTGGAAGAACGTGGTTTTATGGGAATACTGAAAGTGTTTGGTGAATTCATTAAAAAATAAGAACTAATGGGAGAGATCAAGCCATCTAGCAGAGTGACTCAGTTAGCAATCATAAGAAATCAAGTTTAATATGTGGCTCCCATGGCAGCTGACCTCAAAGTCCATTGACTTCCCACTCACATGACCTTGCAGCTGAACCATTTTCTTCCCCAATTCGGGCTCTTCCCCTCCATTTTCACTTTAAGTCTATTCCCTCCCAAATTATAAAAATACTTTACATTGCATAGAACTTTCAACTTTTTCTAACTTTTACTGGATACCCCTGAACGAATAACGGAGGTGGGGCTTCTGAATCTGCCATTTTGAAATGAACAAAGTGGAATCCATTGGGAAGGAATGGACTAGAACTATCCCGAACAATATGGACAAATCCCATAAACATAGTATTTACAGAAGCCAGACATAAAAATGTACCTAATGTAAGATTCCATTTACACCAAGTCCAAAAAGAGGTGAAACTAATTTAAGATGTTAGCAGTCAGGTCACCCTTCAGAGCAGGTAAGACTAAGGGGTCCAAAGGAGGCTTTTGGGGGCCGGTCATGTTCTAGTTCTTGATCTGGCTATAGTTACCTATGTGTATTCAACTTTAGTTTACTGAGATCTACACGTATGATGTGTGTTTTTGTCTATCCATCTTGTGCTTCAATAGCTTTTTAAATAAATAGTAGCAAAGGAACACAAGGGCACTGAGTGATCAGTCAGATTGCTGATTAATGACCGAGACGAGGAGAATCCAGGAACACAGCCTGTGGTTCATGAAAGGCTGCCTAGCAGGGGGCTAACACTTGGACCTGAGGTTCCCCAACCCCAGACCCCATCTCCTGAAGAACAAGACTGTTAGAACCTACAGCCTGTGACATGGATATAGCATCCCTTCCTCCCAGCAAAGGGCTACATTCGAGAAGGCAGTTATATCTGTGGAAGAATATAAATTTCCCTGCTAAATGACCAATTAAACTTTTAATTCAACTGTTATGAGCAATATGTAAAAGCCAATTTAGACAATTAGTGAACAAAAAACCAGAGGCCCCAGCATTCTGAAACAAACCAGATCCGAGATGAAAGCGTTTCTATTTTTCAGGAAGGCAAGAGTAGGCAGGCACGTATGCTTTAAAAGCTATTTCTGAATAACAACTACATTCCGATCAAGCTTTGGCAGCTCGGGACAATAATTACACATCCCGCTGCACTAATATTTTTCAGAGGAATTCCTACGAGCCTGGCTCATTTCCCATCTTCACTAATACCATGCATGGCATGCCTCTGCTCAACTGTAGACACTGACCTCTCCTCTAACCTCACCAATTCTGCCATTCTTTCAACCCAACGGCAACCCTACAGGCTATTTCTTGCTCACACGTATGGCCTCCGTTCTAACTGCCATTCACATGCTTAGTAAATGTGAAGTTAGCACCTGTGACCCACACTGTGTCTAGTCCTCAAATCGTGCTGCATCATCAATGTCATTGACTCCGTGAGGTCAGGCCCCACCAGGCTTCAGAGCAATCTGCGAATACACTGGGAGACAGCGTGGGTGCTACCCAGCAGGAACCCAACAGGGGTGGCCCCAGCACAGCAGGAAGATGGCAGCAATGGACTTCAGTGTCAAAGGAACTCAAATCCTAGCTGCACCAGTGGCCAATCACACCCCATTCAGATGGGATGAGGTGGCTTCTAGCTCAATGGAAGATGACAAGCCTCCCCTTTGTGCTGTTCCTTCCTCCTGTTCTTACCTCCCCAGACTCCTCCCATCCTCTTTCCTACTTTCTACAACCCTCTCAGCCTCTTAGGAAGGCAGGCATCTGGTTGAGCCACCAACTTTACTTGAACTTCTTCAAAATGAAAAGAGGATTAGCTGAGGTAAATCCCAAGGAACGGTTTTCCAATTGTGCAGTTTCATGAACTGTGCCAATAGTTGAAGAAAGGATATATATTTTTGAGTCTGGGCACTAAAGCCATGTATCCCGCAGTGCATGGCTATTCATGGCACAGCATCTTGAATAACATGGAACAGAACACTGAGCTACAGCAACCACTTCTGTTCATTTTCAAAAAAGGAAAAGCTGTTTCCACTAGAGGTAGCACTTAGCATCAGAAAGGATGGCTTATGGAGATACTATGTCATTTCTGAATGCTGCTTCCGCTTTAGGGATGGTTGAGCCACCCAGGTAAACTGAATATGCCAATCTGCTCACTGGTGACATTTCAGGTCTACATGGGAGTTTTTATGTAGACATCCCCTGTCACAGAATGTCCAGCATAGCAGCTACAACAATGGAGGGGTAAATTCAATTAGCCAAATGCTGGGAGCCCGTTAGGACAAGGATCCTCTGGACCCCTGGGCCAGCTCCTTTGAATGTTCCCTTAGCAGAATCTCACAGGAGTCTAGGAGAAACAATTTCTGCATGGGTACCACAATCAGATCCACAGACTTTGGGGAGTTGGAAGGGACCATAAGATCTTAAAGACTTGGGACTGTAGTTCCAAATCCCCAACATTCTAGATGATAAAACCAACATCCAGAAAGTGGCATGCTATCCAAGCTCATGCCTCAAGCCACAATCCAAGACCCCTGGCTCCCTTCTCTCCTGACCTTAGAAAAAGGCAGTGAGAATCGGTGTAAGAGAAACCCAAGAAGTTTTCCGCTTTCTTTTTCTTCTAGAAAAAAACCTCCTTTACCAATCCAAACCTAAGGATGACCAAGCAGACATACTTAATAGTCAAGTCAAAATCAGTTACTGAGCTCTGATCTGGTATCTTTGGTAAACACTGGGTATGCTCCATCCCCAAATTGGAGCTTCATCCCCGCGGAGAGCGGCAAGGCCATCCCTCCACTTCTCAGAGACACAAAAGCTGTTGTACAACTTCTACCTGGCACCCACCTAAGCAAGTGCACACGGGAAATAGTACTGCACTCCACCCATGGGACTCGGGTCTAGGTAATGAGCCACTGAAGCAAGAAAAGCCGGCGACCCTGTGTGGGGTGACCCATGGGCAACTGTGGGTAGGGGTCTGTGTGCTTCCGACACGGCTGGAGTTTAGAACGTTCTGCCTGGGAGGAAAGTGCGGGTATTTATTCCTGCTGAGCCAAGCTTTGGGATTTTAAAGAACGCTATCAGTAGAGGTTTAAGATTTTTAGGTAGACACATTCTAGTGGTGCTGATAACCCGCGTGAAGGTCTGTTCCTGGATATGTTATGATAGGATTCTTAACCATTTCTTAAAACAGGAAATCTCTTCAGTATATAGGATGGTGAACTACAGGGAAAGGACCAGTACCATTTTCCTATTAGTAGATTATAAACAAGGCTCGTTGTCCCCGGTGAACCCTGCCAGCCAGTGCAAATAGAAAAACCAAGCCCATTTCAGCCAGTTGAGGGGCAATGGGCTCATTTCTGTTCCTCGGGCATTGCTGCTGGCTCCCAGGGAGCTCACAGAGACAAGGCTTTCATCTTCCCCTCCTAATGGTCACCCTGCACCCCTCCTCTGATGTTCCCGCACAGGCCTATCTTTCAGGCCATCACTAGAGCTCATTTGCTACTGGGAATTGCAAAGAGGGTTTGACACCGCGAGGAGAATCTGAAAAGAAGAGGAGATCTTATCAGAGAGAGACAGGTCAGGACTTAGAGCAGGAGGAGGCACAAAAAAAAAGGTTTCTAGGAATTTCTATAGAACAGTTTTCCTTCCTTTTCTTCCTCCCCGGTCCATCTAAATATAGTCTGTTTCCTAACGATCAGAAAATGGCCAAGTCTGAAGTCAGCTAATGACACAGCAAGCGTCAACGATGTCACTCCCTCCTGCAGCCGCCGTCTTTCATCCCCGCCTCCCCCGACATGCAGGCAAGTGAACAGACCCAGGTGTTTCTTCTGGGTTAGTCTGGATTCGAACACCACGCTGGGGTGAGAGGAGGATTGAGACTGCAAAGGGGCTCTGGGATCTGGGTTTGAATTCCCACCGGCCACTCACTTGCTGGCTGGGGTGCCTTGGGAAAGCTACTTAACTGGCTAGTACCTAGTGTCCTGAGTGCACAGTGGGGGTGACAAGCACAGGGTGGTTGGGTGAACCGGAGGAGTAACATGCACCAAAACCTTGCAACAGGTTTTGTATGTTTGTACAGTTAAAAATGCGAGCTTCATTCATTTCGAATACTATGCACTATGGCGGTAATTAAGGTGAGCTGCCACCAGGATCCCAGGGGCACCTGCTCACTGGCTTTAATTTATTTCCAACCTGTCTTATTATTGTCTTCAAATAGGCAGGCTTTACTTTCTTAAGGCTCTTTGTTGAAGCGGTAAGGAAGTGCAGATGGGGCTAACGGGCCTGCGCTCCCCCCCACCAGCTTCCAGCAGCTGCTGGGCTGCGAGTTCTCCCCTTTGCTTCTGCCTGGCCCGGCCTGAGGATGGATTTCTCCACAAGGTTCAAGTGGTTCTGAGGAAAGTGTGAGGAAAATGACATGTGAGGAAAATGATGTGTGTAGTATCATGTCCTTTGGAGAGGACAGGAGAAGTCCCGTTACTCCAGGGCTGGCCTGGCAACAAAGCAGGTTGTCCTATCTCAGTGAATGTGACCATCCTTAAATAAGCGTGTCCCCGCCATTGGCTTTGCCTTCTCCTCTCTGGGTGTCCACAGAGTTGGGAGCCTGCCTTCCATGACAGACTTCTTTGGAGGCTTGGAAGGGGGTTCTGGACTCTGCCTGGGGCTATTTCCCTGCAAGGTCAGCTGCACAGCTGCTGCTTGTTCCCCCCTTGTGATCCCTGCTTGGGGCACACTGGATTTGTGGCTTTATCATACTCCAGGCCTGCCACTGCAGTCGCTTCCTCAGAAGGGTACCCTGCCCCTGTTCCTCCCTCAACCAGCCCATGGCCTAGAACATGGTATAAACATGGGGTGCTCTATTTGAAAAAAACAGATGCTCTCTTTCAAACATTCAAACAGCTATAAGCAGAAACGGAAATCATAGGATAGATGAAATGGATTTTTTAAGGTGATTTCTCCACAATTTCCCATTCCCTTTTCCCCTCCACCTTCTCTCTAGGTCCAGCTCTATCTACCGACAATGGCAGACCCCCTACCAGCAATTCCCTAGAGCAAAGGTGCTCCAATCCACCCCATGGCAGCGGACCGTCTAGTAAACATAGGGTGTCTGTCACATAGGGTGTCTGTCTCCAAACACCGTGCCAAGAGATGCCTCACAGCCAACCTCTTCCACATTTCTGCCCCTCAGCTTCTCATGTACAGAATTTGGCAACCACCGTCCATCCCCCCACCCCAGCTAAGAGGGTTAGTGGAGACCAAGGCTGTTGGATTTTCATGGTAATTATCTCCATCAGAAAAGGACTCCTCCTCACGGACTTCAGTCAGGAGTCAGGCTTCAGGAGACAAAAGTCTTGGGAGAGCAGAGCTTAAATCCTGCACCCTTCTTTCCCCCGTGCCACAGGGGACACAGGGATCACTAAGACCTCTGTTCCGTGACCTACCTTGATGGTCTTCACTAGGTTGGCAGTGCTGTTGGCGACCTCCTTGGCTGACTGGACAAAGTGCCTCTTGGCCACTGGGTTGGCTGTCTTGGACGATGCGATGCGGCAGGCGTTGCACAGGGCCGAGGTGTGTTTGGCGACGATCGTGGCCGCCGACAGAACCTACAAGGCATGGAGCTGGGTTGGGGCACGCATGCTCAGTGCAGCAGGGTCCAGGTCAGAGGACTCTACCCCCGTCCTGAGCCCCGGATCCCTCTTCAGCTCACCTATCCAGGGCCCATGTGATTAGGCCATGTGTATCTAGCTCTGCCACCCCAAAGCCACACTAGGAAAGCAGGGGGCAGGATGGCTCAGCAAGAGAGAATAAACAAAAGATAAGGAGGTGCTGCTGGAGTAGCGCAACAGGGCTGGGCTCCAGAGAGCCTGACGGGAGAGGCAGCGGCCCTGCTTCAGGACCCCCACCGGGAGGCATTCGCTCCAGGGTCGAGGCCAGCACAGCCTGACCGAAGGACGGTGTGAATGACATGTGAAATTTTAGATTTGCTAGTAGCCACACTGAAGTAAGTAGAGAAACAAGAGAAATAAATTTAAGTAACTTAAGATTATTTAACTCGATATATTGAAAATATTTCATTCTACCAGGTAATCAGCTTCAGAATACTGAGATTTTACTATCTTTTCTAATCACACCAAGTCTTCAAATTCCAGGGTGCATTTTACACCTGGAGCCCATCACAGTTTGGACTGGCTACATTTTAAGTGCTCAGTGGCCACATGCAGTTCATGGCCACCACCCTGGAGTCCATGTCTAGAGGAGGAAAAGAGACATCAAGGTGCAACAGCTCCTTGCTCATCCACAGGGGGTTGGGCGCCCGAGTCGGGGGTCTGGGTCAGGCATCTCCTGGGCCCCACCCCCACCCCAACACTCTCTTGAATTCCCCTGATCCACTTTGCTGAGGCTGGTAACACTCCCTTGCCCTTAACTGGACAGGCAGGAACGTCAGGTGCCCTGACATCTTCCATGCCCGCTCTCAGGCTCCTGGGTAGGTCTGATAGTCCCTGTGTTGCCTCCTTAACTTGGGTCCTCCTCCTGCTGGAAGAACATTGGGCTCGGGGTTCACGGTGGACGTGGCACTCACAGGCTGCCTCTGGTAGCCCTATGGGCCGGTTCCCGTTCCTTTTAGCACACGCTGCTTGAGTAAGTCACTGGGATGTCATGCCACTCAGAAATGGAGTGTCGCACACATACTGTCTAGTTCTGAAATGCCTCTGTGGGTCTTTCTGGCACTTTGGATTCTGCCCAGACTCTGAGGCCTGACTTGGGGCCTCCGTCTCTGTGCAGTGAACCTTGACAGCCCTGTACAGAGCTCATCACATGTTCCTCTGTGCATCTCGGGTGCTGTCATCATAGCCTGAACACCCCACCTTCCAAGCTTTATCCAACGGAGGAAGAGCCAGGGCATAGAGGAGATCAGGTCTAACTTGTGTTGGCCCTTAGTGCTGAGCGCAGAACAAGCCCTCCACCTACATCCTCTGACCCGAATGAAATCATGAGACTCCTGGTGAATCTCCCAGCGATGACTTCATCCTACTGCCCACCAGCACCTCATTTCAAAGCACTGGCACATTGCCACGTTCACCACATTTTGCAATATCCCCCCTCAAGCTGTTATCCACAGGGCTGCATTGAGCTGGCTTTGCAAGATTGGGAAGAATGGTATTCTTCCCTAATTCTTCATAGTCTCCCACAATCCCCCTATGGGAGCTGAAGCACTCACAGACCTCACACCCTCGCCCCGTGGTTACCTGTGACGGGCTGCTGCCGGGGTCCACCAGGTTCTGGCAGGCCATCTGGATAGCCTGGTTAGCCCTGGCAAACTGGATGGGGTCCACGAGGCCCTGGTGACCCGCCTGGCTATTTGGATCAGAGATGCCCACCAGGTATGCAGCCTGGAAAGGGAGGAGGAAAGCGCAGTTCAGACTCTCCATGCTCCCAGATGAGCCTGTTGGGAATGACAGCCCAGCAGTGTGCAGGCCGTATTCTCAGCAGCTCCCTGGTGTAGGTTGGTCAGGGTTCTCTCACCGGTAAGGATTTAAAGACAGACAGGCGGATTGTGGCAGAGTCTCCCTCAGGCTTCTGGGAACAAAATCTCCCTGTTCTGAAGAAAGCCCCAAGAAGCTTTCCCGTGGGCCTGAACAAGGATGGATGCAGCCCTGTGTGCTCTGACAGCCTTCTTAGCACCATGAGGGTACCCAGTCTCAGTGTGAGGCTGACTCTTAGGCTGGCAGATGGGAGAGGCAGAAAAAAGGGGGTGGTGACCAAAGGCATGGACCCGGTGGGTCGGTCAACCCTGGAGCCTGCTATGAATGGAAGTTTCTCATCTCATAGCCAACCACATCCTTATTGTTCAGGCCAGTATATCCAGGAATAAGGAGAAGGAGTAAGACGGCTCAGGAAACAAAACAAAACAAAACAAAACAACTCCAGCACTATTTGGTCTCTAAGAGGACAAGAGGTTCTAAGAGAAGTTCTTCTCTTTTAACCATCTGGACAGTCAAATCACAGGGAGAAAACGAAATTGGTAAGGGGAATTTTAATCTTAAGTCATTTCCCATGAGATTTGAGGGATGAGATAAGGATAATTTCATCCCCCAAACTAGGGATGTTTCCCTTCAGCTCATTAAAATTTTCCAGCCTCAAGGTAGCTGTCAAATGATAAATCCTTCAAGGTAAATGCCGATAATTTTTGAATTATCAGTTCCATGAGCCCAATCATTACTATAGATGCACAGGACAGTAGAAGCAAAGCCAGGAACATGCCCAGTCATGTCTCTGCAGGATGGTTTCCAATTTTTTCTCCCTCTGATCCTAAAAAGAGCATGACTAAGATTTTTGCAGTTTTAAAGCCTCAGGAGGAACGTCAATTATGTAATACTCATTTTTTCCCCTGAAAACAACTCCTCCCTAAAAGTGGTCTTAAAAAAAAAAACCAAAACAAAGCATAAAAAACCCCACCCCAATCTTGCCTCTGAACACTTAAAGCTGGGCCTTCAGCATTCAGTGTCTCACTACGCTCACCAGGCTGCTCTGCTCCTGGAGGGTTACTGGCTGGTGCTATGCTGAAATGCCCCAGCCAATGCAGAAACCTTTACCATGGTTTCTAGGATAGTGGTTGGGGAAGGGGCTGCCGGTGGAGCTACCCCATGCATCCTGCAGGGACGGATCCTCTGGGTATCCTCACTGGAGCACAGGACAGAGGCAGAGGACCCAGGCCTTAAGGCTGGAAGGCCTGCATGAGGGGGCCTGGGCTCCAGTCCCTTACCTGGGCTGCAGCCTCTGTCAGCCCGCAGAGGGCCTTGGACGCAATCCCCACACACTCCCCAAAGGCAGGGAGGTCCCCGGTCTTGGCGTTCTGTGAGATCCCTGCCATCGACTCGCCCAGGACCTGCAAAACCACGAACCAGTGACATTCATGAACCAGCATTTCTTCAAAGGGTGCTACACTTCTAACTTCAACATTCAAGGCCACTTAACTTACACTATCTGCCATTATTTTTCTTTATTTGCATTAAGAGGAGATTTAAGGGAACTTTATCATTTCTATTCCACAGAGAGAAATGAATAATGAAACAATGAGCCTTTCATCTAAAAGTTATCTATATCTTGAGATGCCTTGGTGGCTCAGTTGGTTAAGCATCTGACTCTTGATTTCGGCTCAGGTCATGATCTCAGGGTGGGGAGATCCAGCCCTGCATCGGGCACCCCCACCCCCAGCATGGAGTCTGCTTGGAATTTTCTCCCTCTCTCTCTCTCTGCCCTGCCCACTTTATCCCCCCTCCCCCACTGCGCTGCCCTGCTTGATCTCTTTTTCTTAAAAAAAGAAAAAAGTTATCCAGATCTCAAAGAGGTACAGTTCATCTATACAGACCAATAAAGTAAAACCTATAAAGGGCATCCCACAGGTGAATGGTTTCAAGTGAGACCTGTCAATTCCCAGAATATAAAAATCATATATATATACACTGAACTGCAGATAGTCACACCCCAGAAGACAGAAGACACAGCCTCACTGATATTATTCATTTACTTATTGACAGTAAAATGTAAATATGTCTTTTTAAAAAGTTTGTGTATATATATATATATAGATAGATAGATAGGTGATCTGAACACAATTTCCTGAATTTTGTAAGCATTTCCCCGTATTTTGAAAATCACCGATGTTTTCTCAGAAAACATCACCGAAATTTTTCTCCAGATGTCTTTAAAATAACAGCCAAAAGGGACTTTAATATTCAGAACCCAACCCAAAGAGGTTGAGCACTCTACACAAGGTCACAGAGAAGGTCACATGGGCAGGGGCAGGACACCTGCCCCACAGCTGGTGTTCTGTCTTCTATGAGCCTCACCATGCCCCAAAAGGGCAGGTCCTGGTCCTACTTCCCAGGGTCACTGAGGATGGAATGGAAGATGCTGAACATAGCCCTTTAGAAAGACTATGGCATTGCCAATACAGAATTCTTCATTAATACACTATCTTGGATGGGGAAAAAAAATTCCCTAAAATTGCTTAGATATACAGCACAGTCCAGAGCATATGAAGACTTGAAAACCAGAGAAGTTAGAAGGTATCTGTATGCACAGTACTGTCCTTTCTATCACCCTGCCTCCCTCTTTAAGAAGGAAGAGTTTCTGTGGATCTAAGTGTCTAAGACTCATGCACCCTTAGGGAATCCAGAGTTCCATCAACAGTGCTGGAAAGAGGAAATTCTAGTCTTATCCCAGTGCAAGACATGCCCCTCTTGACATCACCGACATAGCTGTGTCCCCAAAGCTGATGTCAGAGTGATGTGGACAAACATGGACTTGCGCTCCAAGGACAGACTTGGTAACTGGCGACTGCTCCTTATCCGCGCGTCTCCCTTATATTTTATTCTAATCCAGTTTGGAAGCAACCTCAACAACTTTGATATTGCCATCATAGGTTCGTACTTCTCCACTTTAAAAAAAATCATTATTGCTCCATTAAGAAATCTTTTTAGCCTCCCACCCCCAACTGCTACCCACATCAAAGTAAATAAGAAGAAATAAGATGTCACTGAGTTAGGTTAAGATGTGGAAGGGGGTGGAGACAGAAACCATTGCAATATTTAGATTTTCCTACTCTTCCAACCTCCCAAAAGAACGTCCCATTGCTCAATTCCCTTGAGAATGATGTCATAAATGGATGGTCGGAAGCACACACAAGGCGGGGGGGTGGGGTCTCATGAAAGCCAAGGTCACTGACAGGCTTTCCCTTGCAATTCAGTCCTAAGTAAAAGAAATCCAAGATTTAATTCACAGTGAGACCCATCTACGATGTAGTATAAGCAGTGTATCTCTAAGCATTCCTTCTGGACTGCATCGGCAGGAACCTGGGGACCTGTCAGAAATGTACAATCTCAGCCCCACCTCTGATCTACTGAATCAGAAACTCAAGGGTAAGGTCCAGCCATCTGTGTTTCACAAGACCCCTAAGTGATTCTGATGCATGGTCAAGTTTGAGGAGCACCTGTGCAAAGGGCTCTACCATCAAGCTTTGTAATATATGCAACCACACAGAGAGGCCACAGGCAGGTTGACAAAGAACATGCTTAGACTGTAACCCACAATGAGGAGGAGTGTTACCAGCACAGACAGGCTTACCTTGGAGTTTTCCATCACACTCTCAATGCAGTCAAAGTAAGAGAGGTCACTCACGGGTTCATTAGGATTGTCCAACATCCCCTTGACTGTCTACAGAAGGAAAACACAATTTAAAAAGCAAGCGTTACAGAACAAGAGAAATTTCCATGTAAAATACCAACTGTCGACTTCCCGTCTGCATATAGGATTCTGGGCATGATCATTCATTTATTCACATTCTTGAGAGGAATTTAGGTGGTTTTACATGCGACTTTAGATTTCTTGTTAGCAACACAACACTGATGGTACGGAAGAGGATGTCTCAGGTGAGCTTGGATGGAGAGGAGAGTCCTGTTCACAGACTTGAAGGAGAAACATGGTATCCACAAAAGGGAGAGATTTTTTTTTTTCCTTAAGAAAAATCTAAAAGCGAATTCAAGGCAATGGTCAATTAGCACAAGTTCTCAGGAACTCAAAGGAGCTGACATTTCAAGGACTCATTAACTCATTTCTACCTGATGAGGAGAACCTTCAGTTTTCAATTCTGGAGGCTTTTATCACATAGGCATGAAAAAAGGTCACTCCCCCAAACTTCCTACCTGGATGGTTCATTCGTTTTTAATTCAAAATGTATAGAAAATATTCACTCCTATGTAGGAATCCACCAAGAAGCAGGGCACAGGGCTTGCTCCCTTTGTCTCCAGTCCACTGAAAATCACCTCTACTTCTCATGTTGTAGTAATCTCTGACAGTCACGTATGAGGGAATTTTCCAGGGGAGCCAAGTCTGGGATAGAGCCATCCAACCTCCTTCCCCGTGGTTGAGAATGTACATTCGGACCCAACAGCCTTTGGAGGCACAGCCAACAAAAAAGACACATCCACTGGAGTTACCAAGGATTGGGGGTGGGCGGGGTCATGGGGGAAGTGCTGAGTTACTGAGATCCCAGGAAAGAGGGCAGCATGAAGGAGTTCATTTCATTGAAGAACGTCCCCCCACTCTTCACACAATCAAAATTGTTTTGGTAACAGCAGTCCTGAAAGAGTCATAATTTTGGCAACCAAGCATACTGTCAAAGGGCAGAGTGTTTGTATCTGGGCCAATCTGATTTAGACCAAAAGTGTACGTATCGTGTTTGTGAATGTGAACAGAGCGGGATAGGATGGTAATTAACCCAACGTAGGAAATAGGCTCCATCGTTTTCGGGATGCTTTAGTCCTCAGGTAACAAGCCTCTTCTCACCTCCAGCTGCACTCACTGGCCAACTGCCACCAGCAGACTGGGCCTTAATCAAACCCTTCAGAAGCTGCAATCAGACCCCCTGTGGCAGGGAGGGTATTCCTGTGCTCATCATCCAGAAAACTAAAGGTACATTGGGTTCAACCAACCCATATCCTCTGAGAGATCTAGTTGGCCATTTCAACATAACCCGCACTGGTTAGGACTGCTCTACGTACAAGTGGGAGCATTGGTTGTCTGTTTACCCGCATACATCCTAGGGGTGTAGATGAATTTTCCGTTATAAATAAACCCTAAGTATGAATACAAATTGTGAAGCACCTACACTGTGTTCTGGGTCACTAGGGGTCTCACAGTTGCCTTGACAGTGTGGTAAGTGTTATTCCTGGGGTTTCCACTCACGTGCCCCCTATAGTGACTAAAATAAAACATACCGGAAAATAATTTTTACTCAACAGTAACATCTACCCCGGCTTCTCCCAACCATGCCCACATAATGACTCCAAAACTAGGTAGAAATGGCTCATCTTCAGCCTATGCCCAGGCCGCTTCCCTATTTGAAGTCGAGTCCTTTAAACAAAGTAACTGTCATCCTAGTGGAAAAAGGGGAAGCAGAGATGATAATGCCATGAAATCTAATTTTTCTTGAATTCCTCACCATTTGGGATTGAAACCTCGGCCTCTGTCGTCTTTCAGGAAGGCCATGAGGCAAGAACAGAGGAGAAGAAATTGACCTTGTCTGGAAAGGACAGAGAGTCGCACCATGGTCAATCCCTAGCAGCTTCTCTCGGGGCTTACCTCGAGCTCCCGCAAGGCATTATCACATTCCTTCTGGCCTGGAGCTTGCTGGGTGCACAGCGTGATCAGCTGATTGATGCTCTCGGTCACAGCTCTGTAACAGACATGGACAGAGGGCTTTTGTTTTGTTTTAGTTTATAAAGATCAACAGTAATTTCCCCAACAATATTTCGTAGGTTCGCCAGAAATACATGGAATTCAGTATAAAGGCTGGGGACCCGGTGAGAGCTCTTCGCCAAGGCTCTGAATAACCTAAAATAAACCACAACCAGCGAAGAAAGAATGCGCGTCCCCACGCTGCCTGTGATTACTCATCTGATTTCCCTTTAAAGTGTCCTAATGGTTCTTTTAGGAAAGTAGAACTACCTTTTAATATATTCATAGGAGAGAATTCACAGCAAAGTTGCAAATAGCAAAGAGATCGTATTAACACTGTTTCTAAATATTCTTCATTAGCAGCCCATAAGAGATAAGATGATCCGAGGCTATTTTGGATAGCCTTTGTATAGCTGGGATTGTTTTCTATATTTTAAAACATAGCAGGCAAAAAAACACAACAAAAAACAAAACAAAAACAAAAACAACAACAACAAAAGATAGCAGCCATACAACCAGTAAACTGCGTTCATGATTTTAAAATCTTGGCTTTTTATGAAATCCTACATGATTCGCTAGTTCCTAGAAGTTATCTCCAAATTATTCTTTAAAACAGCTCTTTTCTTTAACATTAATAGGAATTAGAGACTCATGATTTTATACGTGTTTCTGTTCTTAGCACCTGAGAAGCAGCTCAGCATTTTTTCTCCATTGGCACGGATTCCACCTCTCCCGAGCAGCCTCTGCTTAACTCCTGCTTCAGTCAGGCCATGGTTCATTTAGAAAGTCATGGCCCGTTCTGAGTTAGTTTTTTTTATAAGGTGTGAAATATGGGTCCAGGTTCTTTTTGTGTGGGGCGTTGGGGTGGCTTTTGTGGTAAGCCCGATCATTCTAGCACCTTCCATTTAAAAGGTCATTCTTTTGACGCTGCACTGCTTTTGTAACTTTGTCGACAATCCCTGGGCCATATTTATGTGGGTCTACTTCTGGACTCCATTCCGTTGACCTATGTGTCTAATCCTTTCCCAATACCATGCTCATATTAAATCTTAAAATTGAATACCCTTGTGTTTTAGCAATGAAAGAAGCAGAGATAGGAGAGAATTCCCTAAATGGATGCTCAAGTAAGTAGCAAAAACAACACTCGAAGCCATGACTACCTGCCTCCAAAGCCGGACCCACAGCCATTTTTCTGAATGGTCATGACCCATCTACACTCTGGCAGGTTCCTAAATTCTATTCATAGTTACTAACCACGGCAGCTAACCCTCAACTTAAAACAAACAAAAACAAACTAGAGCACACTTGCTGTTAATCATTAGCACTGCCTAATATAAGAGACATCTCATTTTATTAAACTGCTTTGCAGCTTCCCACAGAATATAAAATTAGATGGAAAATGATGTTGTCAATGTACAAAGGCAATCAGCTTAATTACTTGATGAGGAGATACTGCTTTGAATTTTAAATTTAGCTAGGGCGGATGGGAAGAAGAAAAAACATCCCTGAACTCAAAAAAGAATCCCAAAATAGCTGTTGTAAGATTGACTCTAGTGATTCATTTGTTTGGGGCAGGGGGGAAGTGCTTAACGAAGGTTTCATACAGGAGCACTGGGTTCTCTGTGGTGGGAAGCAAAACAGTAAAAACCCAAAGAACAGGACAGTCTCTAACTCTGGGCATCTTGGAGGGTGTGCTCTATGACGTGTTCTCCAGATGGGTCCCTCAGAGTCCAGAGCCATGTTCTGGGTGGTAGGCTTCCAGACACACCCCCGAGTGGACAGGCTGGCAGGCGTGAGCGGAACGAAGTGCGTAGAATACCCTTAACAGTGACAACGTGATCACATGGAGGGTATTTCCATGTACCACACAAGCGTTCCCTTTAGCTTATTTCTTTTACTGTTACCTGTTTATCTGCACTTAAAAAACAAAACAAAAAAAAAAAAACCTTGTTTTTATGTAAAGATTTGTCCATTAACAACTGTCAATTGGGGAATCCAGAGAATATATAACTACTTATTGTCCTCGTCTTTTATCTGTTTTTTTAGATGTGAAAATTTTTCAAATTAAAAAACTTGGGGTAAGAAACCCCAACAGACTAGTGGTTTGTGGTAGGATAATCATAAAAGTAAAAGCACAGGACTGAGGTCTGAATGAGTCACTGGGGTAATACTGATCCATGATTTAGGGAGCAGTATTTAGGTATAATTTATCCTCATAACTCATTTCAGAGTCTGGAATGGAGAGCCCAATAACAAAATAAGTGGCCCAGAGGCAAGGGGTTTACATAGACTTGACAATGAAAAATAGTATTTTTATGCTTCAAACTATACTAGTTGTAAAAAAAAGGATTAGAAGCAACTCAAATACGGAATGACAGAGGACTGACTGACTGAATGGATAGCCTACAGTGGGATTCTGGGTGCCTATTAAAAGTCATAATGCATTACATAGCATTCCTAACAGAGAAGAATATTCATGCTTCACTGTTAACAAAATCTACAAAACAGGATAAACTGTAGGAGCCCACAGCTGTAAAATTCAACATATATATGCTCAGAAAAAAATGACAGAATGACATGCCAAAAAGTTAGAGTTATAGCATTTTTTAAAGTGATTTTATTTTTAAATAAAAACATTTCAATAAATCCAATAAAAAATTATGATTTAGCCAACTTACATTGTCACAGAGGGCCAAAAATAGCAGCATCCTCCCTCTGTTCTATATGAATCTAAATAGGACTGAACAGCAGTTTAAAAATATTTTTCCACTTTTTAAAAAATGACTAAAGCCACATAAGTTTATTTTTTTAATACAAAAAAGTTAAACAACCATAATTCTCCTGTCTAGAAGTAGTGTTTTCTTGTGTTTCATTCTTTATCTAGGCATATCCAGCCACTCTCAATTTTTTTTTTTTTAGAAAACATTGGAACCTATAACCTTGGATCTTAAAAAATAAAAGGATTTCTAACCTACACATTGTTTAGTGTTCAGAGATACTGACTGAATTGATTCAACTAGTTTGGGAGCTCTGGAGGGATAGTCTCAATAGAGAGGGAGATGGGCCAGGGTGTGAGAGGAAAATCAACCAATTTGTGCTTCTGATAACCTATGAAGCTCAGATCGTCTGATAAGGAGCTTGGCAGGGAAAACACCAATATCAGGTACCTCCCTTCCTCAAGGGAGAGCGTCTTTAGGCAGGCAAAAAATTCACCCTGAATTTCACCCGTGCGTATTCCCTGGGTCCTGCTCTGTACAAGGTATGGCAACATAGTTTGTCTCTTTAGGAAAGCAAAGTTATTGCAGCCTGGCTGGGGAAGCAGGATAATGAACAGGTAAGACACACAGAAGGTAAGCCAAAGGAAGCGGTGAAGACGGGAGCACGTCAGACAGGCTCCCGAACCTCTGAGAGGCCAGATGCTCTAGGCTCACAGGGAGCACAGATGGAGGGCATGGGTTCTGCACAGAAGGGAGAGCTCGATATGGACTGCAACAATCGGAGAAGTCAGTGAGATCCTGGTTTGGATAAAGGGAAGAGAACATTCTAGAAGAGACTAACAGATGGACTAGTTTATATTTTTCTGTGTCACAGTGTCAAAGAACTGCTTGCTGGGTCATCCCTTTTCACTGTCTCTGGAGACAGGAGGACGCCTGGCTGGCAGGAACCTCAAAACAAAGGACAGCCCAGGAAGAGGAATCGCCTGCAAAGTTCTAAGAAAGCCTCAGGGGACAGGAAAGCAGCAGCAGAGAAACTGGCTGTGTCCCAACGATGGCAGTGGGAGCCAGGGCCGTGAAGTCTCAGCCAGGGAGTCCTTCTGGTCAGCGTGACTGTGCGTGAGCAGTGGTACAGGGGAGCTGCTCAGAGGTAGGACGCTCCCTCCTTCTTCCAATGCGACCTGGTTTTCCATTTCTTTGACGAAGTTCAGGGAGCACTGGACCAGCCCCTGGCCAGGGAAAAAGCTGAGGAATAGTTGACAAAGGGTCTCCAGCTCCACCCAAGTCTTCAGAAGGGAGTCAGAGCTCAGTACTTACACAGGAACAAGCTGGGCACTGAACGGAAAATGACTTCGTCCCCACTCAGCATCAGAAACCAAAGGACTGGGCTCCTCGTGTACCTGGGCTCCGATGCAGAATGAAGAGCAGAGGGAAAGGGGATACTCAGCTGCTTCTCCAGAGATCAGTCTTTTTTCTCAAAGCAGGAAGAATCATGGAGACCATCAAGAACAAAGGATTTAAGTCTGTGGACATAGGAGCAGGGCAGGCCTGCACTGGTCCAAGTCTAGGTCCCCACAATGGCATCTGTGGGGCCTTTGGGGACAGCCACATAAAACAGAGGCAGGGCTGGGCTGTCCCAGGAATAGGGAGGGCAGTGGGACTGAAGATCAGGACAACGGCAGTCAGATCCCAGCTGCTCAACGCCAAGGGCGCTCACGTGCAGGGCTGCTGCAGCGTCCAGATGGAATGAGGGGAGCATGGGGTGTGTGTGTGTGTGTGTGTGTGTGTGTGT